TGACGAAGCAGCGCGGAGAATTCGAGAGCTTCGCGAATGGTAGCGGTATTGTCATGGAGATCCATCTGCTCACAGAAGCCGGTGCCTCGCTGGAAGTCGGTGCCCAGAGGATGGCCATCCACAAGCATGTCGCCAGTGACCACACCCGTTTTCTGACGCTGAGCCAGAGTGTTCAGGAGCGTAGTCTTACCAGCTCCGGAAGCACCCATCAGGGCAATCATGAGTCCGGGTTTAGCATAGCCGTTGACACCATTGAGAAGCTTCCTTGTGCCATTGCCGTAGGGAACCGTATATTCAACGTTGGACCAGGTGAAGACGCGGTCACTAGATGAGATGCGGTTGAACGAGTCGCTGTTGCTGTTGGACTGGGCCTGAACACCAGCGCCCTGGGTCTTCTCTTCGTCACTTCCCTTGCCGCTCTGCGCCGTGAGCTGCTTAGCACGCTTGGAACGCTTGAATACCAAGGCACCGCCGCCACCACCGACGAACGAGAGGAACTCGGCAGCAAAAACGGTCACCAGGATGTAGAGCACAGTGAAGGCAATGACGACACCGAAGTTACGCCACATGTGATGGCGGGTGAACTGGTAGGCGGTCTCGATGTAGTTGGAACCCGAAACCTGCGTCTGCCCGAGCTGAGATCCGGTGAGAGTGCATCCCTGGTACCTAGGATCCAAGTCAGAGCCCTGGGGGACCAACATCGATGAGGCGCAGTCCATGAGTCGACCAGCAAACTCGTTGGACAGAACGGCTTCGTAACTGTAAGACAACGGGTTGACGTAGAAGAGCCATCCGAACCAGATCGAACCATCGATGAGAGATTGCTTGGGAATGACATAGCCAACGAACAGGATCAACACGTTAAGCGCAATACCACTGAATCGGACAGCATCGTCAATCGATGGCGAGAGCGCAGCGAACATGCGATACATGGACGTGATGCAAAACGTCGTCGTGTACACAAAGAGGAAGTAGATCCAGAACTTGGAAGCGGTCACGTCGAGGCCGGACATGAAGTAGACGATAATGGTGAAGGGAACGACCATGCAGAAGATGGCTGGGAAATCCACAACCACACGAGCAATGGAAACAGCCGACGGACGGTAGAAGGCATAATCCTTGTGACGGGCAACAATGCCACGACCACTGACCGCCGGCATGAGTTCCGTCAATTGCAACCAACCCAGGAACAGAATCGAGAAGAACAAAGCACCACCACGAGAGAAGGCACCACTGGTATTCAACGATTCACCATAGAACAAGGACGAGACAATCAAACCGTTGGAGATAATAATGAAGTACTTGGTGTAGAGCGAGGTCTTGTCACCCCAGAGCAGCCAGAACTCACGACGCACACAGGCGGCGACCTGGCGGACCAGAGAAACGGTGTACGGCGACTTCTTGGACACGGTCTTACTCTTCGACTCGGCGACCGACTTCTGGAAGCGACGGGTGCTCTCCTGGTTGGTGTCTTGAAGCTGCTTCTCATAGCCAGAAACATCGTCCAGGATACGCTGGTAGGCACTGCTTTGTCTGAACACGGACTCGAGCTCTTCCGCAGTCTTCGGAGTCGAAGCTTCCCGGCCAGGCTGGAATTGACGGGCGTTGGGGTCGCACAGGGAAGTCAAGAAATCGGCCGTGGTCGACTGTTCGGGGCAGTGGAAACCAAGGTTCACAAAGTACTGTCTCGCCTCGTTGGCGGGACCTTGGTAGAGCATGCGTCCCTGGTCGATCACCAGCACCTTGTCCATGAGTTCGTAAATGCTCTCACCGGCCTGGTACAGGGTGACAAACGTGGTCCGCTTGCTGATGTCGGTCATGATGCGCAGGGACTTGGCGTAATCCAGGGCGGTGCTGGCGTCGAGACCTCTGGTGGAGTTATCCCAGCAGACGACGGAGGATTTGGTGGCCAGCGTCTCCGCGATACTGACACGCTTTCGCTCTCCACCGGACACACCGCGGACATACTCGTTGCCGACCACGGTGTTCTTGGTGTGCGAGATACCGAACATCTTTAACAAAGCATCGATGATGATCGGGATACTCTCCTTGTCGTGCTTCTTGGTCTTGTTAATGAGAGAAAACTTGAGGGTCTGCCAAACCGTGAGGTTGGGAAAGTGCTGGTCATCTTCCTGGTTGTAGTTGACCTCACCACGGAAGTGCTTGTGCTGCTCCTCCGCGGACATACCGCCGTAGCTGATCTCACCCTCGACGCCAGCGAAGGCGTCTCGGTCATTGGCGATGGTCTTCAGGAAGGTGGAGCAACCGGCACCAGGTCTTCCCAGCACCAGCATCATCTCACCTTCCCGCACAGCACCAGTGAACTCGTGAAGCAAGTCTCTCACGGGGGGCTTGCGACCAAAGCGGAGTTTGGGGGCGAATTTGCAGACAATGTTGTAGAGATCGGGTCCAAAGGTACCGATGACGGCGTCCGGAAGGGTACGAACAAAAGACGCACCCGTCTCGACACCCTTCACGGTGACGTCCTTGAATACCACACCCACCTTCTTAGCGGGTTCGCCTGCAGTCGTCCGGCGTTCGAGGTGGCCGCCCATCAAGAACTCGCTGAGGTCGAAGCCGCCATAACCGCTGTCCGTGGTGCCGGACAAGTCGTCGTCGTTCTCCAAAGCCTTCTCCTCATCGCGCGCCTGGCTTGCGCGCGAACGCAGTCGCTGAGCTTCTCGAGTAGCGGAACGGGTTTGATGCAAACTGAGGCGAGTCAATTCCTTGCGCATTTCCTCGAAATCCTCCATGGCGCCGCGACGAGAGACAGGCTCCTCTTCCTGTTCTCCCCAACGGCCATCAGCGGATAGGTCGGTCTCGCTAGTCGACTGGGAGATCACGGTTTGGTCGGAAGCGATAACGTGGGAGCTTTCTTGGGCGTAGGGATGCTCCTGGGTGATAGTCGGAACATTTTGCAATGCATCCGGCTGACGATGTTCGTCAGCCATGGTGGAGACTGTGGCGCCTGTCGTCAGGCAAATTCCGAGGGAGGGATCTGCGAGTCGGACGTAAGGTGGTGGTGATATCGTAGGCTACCAACCGAGTGGCGCAAAGAAAAAAAAAAAGGCGAACCCAGGAAACTTTTTGAAGGTGTGAAACTCCGATCGAAGAAAGGAGAACGGGGAGGGAATAGGGATAATAAATAGATATTAATATGTAATGCCACGAATACGCAAGGCAAGGGTGTTATCAACGTTTAGCTGGAGTATGTATGGAAGATATGTACAGCCAAAGGTAAAGACGATGATTAGTGAAGTTGGGGGGGGTATGTAGAGGGTTGATGCGGCACGGGACTGGGGCGCTCCAGGAGCTCCAGCACACGCCTTGAGAGGAGTGGAGATTGGGGTGAATGTGGAGGAGAAAAAAAAGAAAGACCGTAACCGACTCAAAGAGAGAAAGAAACAAGAGCCATCCACTGACACTAAAGAGGGGGGAGAAAGATAATAAATAAGTCAGTGGAGGAGGGGAGGACGTTGTATCACGGTATAAACGATATTGGCGGCGCCGGCGTTATCAGACGCTAACGCCGCGGGACCACTTTGAAAAAAAAAAAATTATTCATGGAGGGAAGAACTGGAGAAAGACAGGCAAGATTGGAGGCGGATTTGTCAGGATTGCAAACGAGCATTGACAATAGACTCGGCTTGTAGCCATGCCAAATGGACCCGAAACGGACCAGGGTCCATATCCGTGGCGGCGACGACAAGCAGACGGAATTAACCAAGCAATCAGAGAACGTAGAGAGACGGAAGGACCAGGTAGCGGAACTAGATCGAAGGAGTGGATTTGCTGACAATTGGAACTGCAGCAAGAAGGCGATGGAAAGCTGGACAATCCATCGGGTGAACTGCGGTGGGTCTTTTTTCATCTTGGTTCTTATTTTTTACTCATGAGTCAAGATGAGGTCCACGGATGTCAGTTTCTAGAAATGTGATTGGACACAGGAGCCATGGGTTCAGGGGTCGGCTGGACCCGAATGGCTCTGGAAGCGGAAGGAGCGACGCGGGTTCAGCGAGGAATTCATCTTCCAGGCGCAACTTTCCTCGGTTGACATTCATGTTTGGTTTGTTTGTTTGGGCTGCTTGTCATCATTTTTAACGGTGGGTCGGAGATAAGCCTACTTTTCTCTTACTTCCACTTACTTCCTGTCCGGCGTTAAAATTTTAACATCTGAAATTTTGAGGCGGGCTCTCTTTTCGGTTAGTCCGAAACAACCTCGACTCGATTATTTCCTCTTCTGCTGCTGCTGCCCATCTCATATAATAAGACAATTAACTCATCATCTCGTAGATTATCCTCGTCATCATCCATCATCCATCATCCTTCTCTTGGCATAGGAAGCTGACTCTATTATATTATTAACCACTGTCACTACTAGTTAAATACTAAAATTAATTGTGATCCATAACAAGGCTCTGTCTGACATGAGCTCATCTGGTTAACTTAACTATAAGTAGTAATAGATATACGTAGATAGTTACTCAGTATCTGGACGCCTGATATGTACTTGTGAACTGGGACGCAGGGGACTAGCTTCCAGTCATTTCTACTAACGTGGGTACTATTTTACTTTTTTTTTGTGATACCAAACGGATATTATTACTATAATTATTGCTATCATTATTAATCAATCATTGAGGGTGACGATCTCTTCGGTTCTGAGCTCAATCGGCACTACTCCGGAACGGGGTCCCCGGCACCCTCGAGTCAGCCTGCCGACCATCTCCCTACCAGACCCAGTCAGCCAACGATTCAGTCAAGTGGGTTTGGCCACAGACTCGGAACCGACAAAGAAGTAAGCCTGCTGCTTGTTGCTGCTCTTGCTTCTTGCTGCTGCTGATTCCTGCAAGTCCAGCCACAATACCCAGCTCAAAGTTACACGATCGCTCTCTCTAATTTTTTTATTCCCTCTTCCGCGTGCTTTTTCCGGCCGTGGCCTCTGGTTGGTTCTCATCTTTCCATGAAACAACCTGAACCTTCTTGGGCAGGAGCTTGGACTCGATTAGCCACACCCGATTCACCCGGGACTGCCATGCCGACCGGGTGCGATCTGTCAGATCTGATGGGTGCCGGTTCTCGCCCTACTCGTGTCGTTTCCAATTGGGATTCCGAGGCCTTTTCGGATCGCCTTGTGCTCTTGATTTTCCCCTTTTTCCCTGTTTGCTCCATTTTCTCCCATCACACCGCTTGGGCCTCAACTCACCCCCTCCCCTTCCATCTCCCACATTTTCTCCTCCAAGCAACAACCCAACCACCCTTTGGGCCACCAGCTGACTCCTTAGGGTTATCGCCTACAGGCAACAACCTGACTTATCTGACCAATAAATGGCCGTCTTCCTGTTCACTACGGTACTTACCTATCAGTCGTATCTCAGTCTAGCCCTTCCCTGCACGGATCGCCTCCACTCCCAAGCTCAAGCTCCCCGTCTGGTTCTTGCAGAGCTTCCAGTGGACTATGAAATACATACCTTTTACCACTTTCCAGAGATTCCCCCTAGGCTGATATTTTAGAATGATATTTGAACATCCCCCGCCATCACAACCTGTTTCCTAGGGTGGAATGTGCTATTTTCAAGCATGCGCTCGGAAAACTGAGCAACACACGGCAGTGCACTGCATCGCCTATACCGGAGAAACTCCAGACTGCGGGGTTGGAATCCAAAAGTCCACAGGTAATTAGCGCCAGTCTTGGATCTGTGCATGTGCTCTTCCAGTGGGAACCGGAGTATAGCAGCGGCAATCTCGGACGGATCCATGCACACTTTGCGGTCAGCTCAGGCAGCTACGCAAAGCGCGGGGTGGCTCGTAATTATTTTTTTGGATCTCTTGCTTTGTTTTCACACCTTGATTTCTGTGCGTATGTATCTATCTACTGTGGCTTTCTTCATGCTCAGTGGCTCCCTGCACCTGGACACAAAATTGCGATGCCAGCCTGCACGTTGCTCGGTGAGAGTGCCTAGTTGGCACTAGCCCCAAGTCTGCCCGGTCACTCTAGGCCAGGGTCCGCGGTCTTTCGCACCGCTGCATCTTAATCCAGCCACTACTATCTTCCACGGTCCAGCCTGCCCGGCTGCTAGCCACTCGCCAATAGCTTTCCGTTGCCTTTTATATTTTTGGCGTGGAACTGCCTTGCGGCCACCAGTGACACAATCCGGTTTCTTTGGAACAGTTCACCTGGCATTATACCCTCGTGTCGATGTTATGGCTTGCCGTGTCTTAATCGACGTATCCTGTCTACCTGCATCATCTGACGGATTAGCATGCGCTCTGAATGTATGGCGGTTGATGTCCAAACCACGAAACCGCCAGATCCACGTGTTCGACGAAGGGTATAGGCTGGTCGTGTAACCGAGTCTCGTTTCGGATCAAGACTGTCTTGTCCGCTGTCGATGTGACTCTCAGCTAAAGTCGCATTAACCCACAATCCCTGCTTTTTTGCAACATCGGATAGCACGGCTATATGCATAACCTGCAGGGAAGTACCCCACAATGGCGTTTCTCTTTCGGCATCCGTTGCCGGTTCACCCCCAACCAAATACCGATTGTCGTGTCTATGAGGCTGTGGCATCGCTCTTGTGTGGAACACAATGCAGGATTGAGCTACTGTAGTAGGAAACAAACCATGCTGTGTCGTTCCCATCAGATCTAGTTGCCAATTTAACTGAAGCGGATCGGTGCAACAATCAGTACCGAGTATATCTTTCGATGCATGGAGTTGGACGTGTTAGGACCAGCTCCTCACAGACCAATGAAGGTGATCGAGTGCTTTCAATCACGAACCCTTCGTGCTAATCAAGTGCTACTAGCCCGTTGCTAGCTTGTCTTTGGGACGGATCGACACGAGCTTAGTCCAGCCACACACTGCTTGCGAACCAGCATCGGTCAATCATGAACCTGAGTTACCCTGCTACGCTTCCATCTTCTCATTCAGTGTATTAGAGTCCTGCATGGTGGCTGGACTGAGCCTTGGCAGTCTAGACCGGACACGAGACGACGGTATTATATTCATGGAGAATAAATCTGTAAGCAGCGGTCTGTACACGTATTCCACGGCCAAAATGCCTCATTTAAATAGACCAATAACGGCATTCTCTATCATAACGGTGGTAGCTTGTAGTCAGAGAGCCTGATACAAATCTCCAATGCTGCCCAAGCAACACTTCTTCTGGTCACAGTCGGCCTGGAGCAGGCCGTCAGGAATCGCAGCTGGTTCTATAATCAGATAGTCTCAATAAAATGGGGGATTTCAAGTCTTTTGCTGTTGGCTTGGTGGTTTGCCGTGAACGAACCTTGCTAGTTATAGATCACGATACACGCTAGTCATGGACTGTAGTTGAGTCTCATGGCGATGCCTCCCTCTATCTACCTATGATCCACACGGTGACTCAAACCAACAGGTTTCAAGCAGACACTGGATCTCTTTAGATCGCAAGATCAGACCTAATAACTGGATCTCCTGATCGTTGTAGCAGCTGATAGCGATGCGACACCTATATGAGCTGGATATCTGGATTAGCGCTGTTTTAGTAGCGATTAGTAGGGATCAACCTGCGGCCCCTTGCATAGTCTGAGATCAGATAGATTAACCGTCTGGCAATGGAGATACTGAAGCGCAGTGAGAAGTTTTGGGGTGGGCGATGAAAATAAGGTTCCCGTGACTGGATCCGCCTCCATCATTCGTCGCGACTCCACAACTACTCATTTCCAACCATCCTCCATGCTGCCTCCCCTTTCCTCAACTCATTACCTTCGTCGAGGTCAGTCTCTCATCGAAATACCTTCTTCTTTCACCTGACAATGGACTTCGTAATGATCGCTGTCGACTGATACTGCTCCTCTTGGCGCCCGCGATCCATGCGGCCATCGCAGACTTCCAGCTGACCCGCGCCGTCTCTCTCACCTGATATAACCTCGTCCATCCGTCGACTCGTTTGTCGTCATCGTCCCTCCCCAACGCTGGATAAAATGGCTTCTCTGATAAGGTCGCGAAACTCGGGCATTCCACCCGTAAAACGCATCCATCACTTCGACATACCATAGCACATTTTCCCCCCCGACCTCCTCCTCCGCACTCCTTTCTGATGGAGATCCAACAACAATATCGCAATGGGTATTCGGGATGACCGCGATGGAGGAGAAACACCATCCTTCACCATGGCACACCCTACAATGGCCATGGTGACAATTGACCGTCCTGCCGCTCCAGCGCCGGACTCGTCGTCCCCCCTGAAGCCAGCCGGCCAAGCTAAGCAACCACCCTCTGACCCAACAGCCACCCCGGACCCCAACCTTGTCAACCCCCGTCTCCTCGTGAATGGCGCTTGTATCTACGAGCGACACCTTCCAGGCGATGCGTACATTACTGCACACGTGCAGCGTCTTCAGCACGGGTTCTACGCCAGCCCCGCCGTGTCCAACCAAGATCACAACCACGTGGACTTCCTCGGTATCACCTTCGTCTTCCACTCGCCCAATACACTCTCCCATCGCTTCAAAGCAGCCACCGTTCGGGCCTCTGTTCAGAGCGCAAGGGAGCAGTCATCGTCAAGCAACCGAACCCGCCATCCCCGCTTCCTCATGCATGCCCCGCACCTCCTCTACGGCGCCGTTTCCCCTGAAACCCTACAATGGAACTACAGTCTCAGCGGCTCGCTTGGAGTTTCTGACCTCCCCCTCGTCGCGAGTCTCTCACCTAGCGGTGGCATGAATGGACGTTATAAGCGGTATGAGATGATGCGGATCCAGGGGTCGGTGCGATCGCTCAGAAGCCCGCGCGGCCGAGCCTTCGACGTTGAGGGCGGCGAGATCGTGTGGACCCTGGAGGAGAACAACTTGCAGCGATCGGGCCTGCCGCGCGAGTTCACCTTCGCCATGCTGATCTCGAAACCCCGCGCGGAGAGCCGAATTCAATTTGCGCTGGACATCGACCCAGTCGTCCAATGCTGGTGGTCGAGTTACCCGGGGCCCCTGCTAGCCCTACCGCGATACAAGCCCGTGCGTCGTCGGCCGGTGGATTTCCGGACAGAAGTGGGCCAGCGTTTTGAGCCCCTCACGGCAGACAAGGGGTTCAATTTTGCGGCCCTAGAAAGCTCGTTCGATGATTACGTGCATATGCCGGGGCGGAAGTTTTCATCTGGCGTACGTGGTACCCAATCCCCTTGAGCATACATTGGAAATCAAAGAGTCAACTGCAGGAATATATACTGACATCGGAGTTTGCTGCAGATCTCCCCGGACGGCGGAATCGCACAAGATGACAACGAAGTCCGACGCGACGTGACCCGCGATTGGACGATGATCGAACCGTTGCGTGGAGTTAACAAGGTCCCCGCCTTGCTGCCGGGCAAATCGGGACTCAACCCCAACCAGCCTATTCCTGCAATACCGGGATTCGACCCGGGAAGTTTCACAATGCGACTACTGTTGGATAATGCACATGGGTCAAGCAGCAGGTACGCGCATGTGACATCGGAAGTGACCAACGTACGAAATGGGCAGCGAACCGAGCGACGATTGGAGCGACGAAGCAAGGGAAATAATAAATAGCATTTCAGCATGGAGTTGGCTGGTCTGATTGTCTTGTTTTTGTTAGCGACTAGCATGACACCCGGCATACAAGATTGATAGAATTGGGTGATGCGCAATGATATACTGTCCGGTTCCACCTCCAACTTATACCATACATCATTATAGTACCATTATCAGTTCACAAAGTACCACTACGAGATGGATTTCTAATCCTCAATATCATTCTACTACCCGCCATATCAATCTGCACAATCTGTCAAAACAAACTACAAAGTTAGTAAATCGTAGGTATTGGGAAGTTATATACACCCAAACAACTAATAACCACCACCATTGCTTCTAAATACGAACCTACTAAACTAGCCTCAACAAATCCCATATATAATCGCCACCTAGTACTTTGCTAGTATAGCACCCAACGTAAATATAAACAAACGGTGAAGAACAGGCAACTATAATACTATGTAAGCAACTACCCCGGTAATATTCTTACGGTATTGTATAATACGGTATGGTCATGTAAGGTTCTTAGTAAAAAGTAGTGACGTAACAGCCACCCATCTACAACTCACACAACTCACGCATAACCACCACACAGAATAACGAAGTATGTGACTAAAGTGAACTACTACTACTACTAATAGTATATACGAACCTCATAGTTCTGGGTATATAGTAGATTGAGGGATATAGAACATACTCTACAGACTAGACTAGACTAGACTACTACTAACGATAACTAGATCAACCCTACCACATGACACACACCATCATGTGTATAAAGTGACCTAACTACTCCTACTACTACTAACTACTAACAGTATTATTTCATTAGACTGTTCAGGTATTACTATACTGATATCAAAGGAAAGAATATAAGTAAGTCAAGTCAGCATATAAATATTACACAGTTACATACATACATAACATACAGTATTTATTCAGTTCACCTCCCCCCACTTCAAACTTCAACCCAATGATCTTATTATTGATTATCAAAGATGATCTAGATCATGTACAGAATACATAAATACACAGTTATTATTATTCTATACCTCATAGACAAGCTCAAAGATAATAGTTATGAGAGTGAGAGAGAGGAAAAAAAGCAATACAGTGATGGTCTAGATGCACCTTGGAAAGAAGTAAGTGGAGATGAGCTCAGTTGTGGAGATAGAGCCAGCCAAAGCAAGCGAAAAGTGTCCTAAGTGTCACCGTGACATTGATAAACTTCTTCACACATCCACCCATTCTATCTTACTACCACTGCCTTAAAACTTCCCTGGTTTGGTTCGGTTCGATTCGATTCGATCGATCGCCTCGATCTTAGTTACTACTAACTACTACTACCTTATTACGATCCAATCCAATCCAATCCAATCCAATCCACTATGTACCCTTCTCTTTCACTACTACTCAATTTCCTTGTTTTTGCAAACATACCAATATACTAACTGGTAACGTGTAGTAGATGGGTCTAGACCATTATGAATATCGATTGGTTCCATTTTTTATTTTCTAAGATGAGGAAGAAGAATAATATGAGTAGTTAGCCAGTGATTGATGCTTGATTGATTGATTGACTATACAAGTGATATGCATATACCTCAAGAAGATCGTGGCTATAGCGAACTACTGCATTCTCATAGATCAATCAAAGAACGAGTAAATGGATTAACATACCATCCATCGGATAACTAATCAGTCATGTCTAGACCCCTGACAATGATGTGATGAGATGATAATTGATGATATCACCAGCTTGTCCTTCCCGCACATGACAAGAAGAAGCCCTTCCGTAGCATCAAATCGAACCACAACCACAGCCCATTAATATTTGCCAAGAAAAAAAATCCAGCTTGAAACCCAGGATTGATTGATTGATTGTTGATTGATCGATCGATTGGTTGTATGCATCATCGATAGGATCATCTCGTCAAATAGTTTCCATGTACACCACTAAGAACCCATGGTTTCTCCCATATGTAACAACTAAGGATATGATGATAGCGGACCAAGCACAGACACAAAAGCAATGAGCATCACGTAGAGTAGCACGTAGCACGAACAACGAAACAAAAACAAAAGTGTTGACAGATAGCCGCCCCAGAACCATGCCACCCAAAACCGTCCCATTGCTCATAATCGCATGAAAAAGACAGAAAACCAATCCACACTCGCAACAAATCATAGACCACCAAACAGCGAAAACACAGAATAAATCCCAGAAAACCCCCCAGGGTACTACCCGCGAACAGGCTAATAAAGATATATATAAAAAAAAAAGAAGGTATTTTGATCGACATCGTATCATCGTAGGGGTAACAGAAGCAGCAGCAACAAGGAAAAAGCCACCCATGTCTCCTCTAAGAGCGTTTTCCCACCCGGGTATTCATCCACAGCGTATATGCATAGTCTATTCCCAAATTGCCGCCCTTCTGAGAAACAACAGAAAAATAAAATTCGTACGGAAGAAAATAAAGAGGGGGGTGTGAGAAATAAAGTTAAAGCGAGGGTAAAACCACAAGTCATGGTCGCTGGAGAATTCAGAGTCATATCTGAGGCTGCGCCGGAGCAGCAGCCGCTGCCCATGTCGACACGGGGTAATTGGCATGAGCTGCTGGTGCGGTAGCGCTCACGTAGTACGGATGTCGGTCTGCGCCCGGGTAATAAGGCGCATGCATCGGGTTCGACTCCCGGCGCGGGATGCCCGGATCAAACGCAGACATGCCACGCTGTTCCAGTGGTTGATGCGGTCCATCAAGCGGACCCAGGCTGAAGCTTCCTCCCCGTGAATATGTGGCCGGCGTGGCCGGATCAATGGGCGAGGTCGCGTCGGTCGCAACGCTGCGTGAGGATATTGACGAGTTGCGATAGGCCGAAGGGCTGTGATCCGACTGGGATCGGTTGCGATCGCTCAAGGAACTCGGAATGCCCGTGTTGAGGGCAGAAGGGATTGACGACGACAGCGCATTGTGACCCAGAGCATCGAAGCTCGTTCCATACTGAGTGGGTGTCCGGAATTGAGAGTAGTCGTCTGGCTTCTGCGGGATCTGGGTAGGTGCAGACGGCGCGGGAAGATACGGGTTGGAAGCTGGCTGCGCCGAAATCGACCCTGCCATCGAGTATCCCGGGATGGCCGCAGTCTGCGGAGCATGCGTAGCAGCATACGGCGCGGGGTGCATATAGAATTCGGGATGAGGGTTGGGGATCGCATACCCGGGCGGTGCTACCAACTGAGGTCGGTATCCGTAGATCGTATGGGGGTCGTTCGGGTTCTCTAAACCTCCTGATTCCAAGTCATCAATGGGTGCCCGGAAGCTTTGCTTCTGCGTCAGCTCTGCACGAGGCCGAATGTACCGCAGCGAGTCGACCATCGATGGCGGGTTCAACAGCCCGCGCATCACGTCCTCGACGCTGTAATACGAGACCAGGTGGTGTGTCACCCCCGAAACCGTCACACTCATCGTCTTCTTCACGAGTCCCGAATCCTTGAAGCCATACGAGTCCACCAGCGAGCCCACCAACGCTCTCTCCACGTCCGTCTGGTGTGGTCGGTCTCCAGGATACTGACCGGGTGTCGAAGACGGCGAATAACCGCCGTTGCTGTCCTGTCGCGGATACGGCTCCCCAGGTCTCGTCGAAGGCACCGGGCGTCGATTGGCCTTCTTCATCGCTCGCTTCTTTTCGCCGGGAGGAAATGGCTTCTCCAGTTCGCGGTAGACGAGAAAGTTGCCCAGGATTCGACTGGGACTCCAGGTCACTCCATCCGTCCATCGCTTGATACCCGATGAATTCTCCTCGTAGATGAACACACTGCCACTGCGGACCAGGTGACCACGTTCGCGATCGTGGGGCCGACGGGGCACATGGTGCAGCACTCCCGTCAGACAGGCCTCAAAGAGAATCAGCGCATCCTGTGTTGTCGCGACGTATCCCGTAAAGGTGGGCTCCAACACCGTAGCGGTGCCGTTGACCATTGTTTTGCGTTTGTTGTAGGTTCGAACCTAGTTGAAAGGGGGGCAAAGAGGTAAAATCAATCAAGGTTAACACCACCGTTGATCAAGGTTTCCCAGTAACTCGGCTAGACGGATTGGCCAGGGTGACACTGGCGTTTCGACACCAAGCAGAAGAAGAATAGCAGTGAATAGGATCAGAACAATCCCGCCTGACAGGCTGTCAGAATTTCTTTCTTTGTTATCGGCCGTTGCAGAAAAAGCCAGGACGAAGTCCCGAGCTAAAAAAAAAAAAATGAATGGGAAGGAGGGAGGGAGGGGGAAAAAGGGAGTGAATTGGGGGACTCCAGAAAAGCAGGGAGGGGGAGGCAAATAACCTTTGGTGGGAGAGACGAGGAGTGGGAACCTCTGGTGCGAAGGTGAGAGAATGACAACTCGAGAGAGCTGACGGTGATGGTTGAACCGTAGAAGAGGGCCGATGGCGCGAGTTTAAAGCGCCCCCCTCCTTCTTGAGTTTAAGGGCTACTACCAGACTTGGGCGAGCCGGATCGACAGCGAGCACGGGCCCGTCCTATTTCCCAAATCCTCGCACAGGGAAAGGGTTGGATCTGGAGAGCAGCGTCTGGCCCTAGTGCAGCTGGGTCGACTGGAGCTCCGGTTCCACGGATAGCGATCGGATCGAGGTAGGTTGAGTCTCCAACCAAAACAGCTGCGGGAATTCCCAAGCTTTCTGCTTGCAAGGAGAAACCCGTTTTGACAGGGAGTTTAAATACCCTGGGCGCGGGAGTTTCTCTTTAACCCAAAAGGCTGTTGCTGATGCTGCTGCGCAAGACGATGCGGAATTTCGGGATTTGTTGAATGGGCAACAATCCACTGCGCGAGAAGCGATAGTGATGAGGGAAAGAGAGGGAGACCAGCTCAGCTTACGCCGTATGAGCTGTTCGGTGCCTGTTTCGGAGCAGGTATGTAAGCCGATTTATCCACTTTGGAGCTTCACGTAAAGCCACCCGGGCCATGCGAGAAACGAAGTGCGATGAATTTCCAAAGGCAAGTAGAGACCAGGAATGTTTCAAAGTGAATGGGGATGCTTGAAGGGAAGGAGTGTGGTGGACTCGGAAGACAAGAGGGGACAATAGTTGACCTTAAACATCCGTGGAACGAGACGGGGAAAGAGGCAGATAGAAATAAATCAGAAAAGGGAAAATTAGGTATATGGAAATAAGGAAACAAAATAAAAAAAGGGAAGAGAGAAAAAAAAAAATCAAAAAAGTGAAGAGGGAAAATTAAAAAAAAATAGAAAAGGAAAAAAAGAGGAAAAGAGAACGAAAAATAAAAAATTAGGAAAAATAAAATAATAGCGAAAAAAAAAACCAAAAAAAAAAAAAAAAAAGGGAATGCAATCCCATCCCAATGGAAATTATGGAATAGTTGTATGGGGGAAGAGCAGCAGTGCCAAAAAAAATAGAAAATCGAAAAAAATAACGCCAAAAAATCATCCCAGTTCCCAGAACATTGGCAGGGTACCCATGTATGGTATTGTAAAAAGCATCGTGTTTTTTTACCCTTTCCTCTCACTCTCACACCTTTCCCTTCCAAAAGTAGGGAAGGGAAAGAGCTGTCCGGGGAGAGAAAAAATAGAGATAAGAAAATCATCGAAAATAACACGAAGAGACAATTAAACATAAGGAATAATTATCTACCTTTTTCTTTTTTGCAGCAAAAAACCAACAGGTAAGGTAGGTAAGAAAATAAGGAAAAGAAAAGAGGCGGCCCTCATCCCCCCCCCTCCCCCTTCCTGGTGATCAGGAAAACCAGGGAAGGGAAGGGAAGGGAAAATTACCATGGCCAGTCCAACTAGACCAGAGCCGGGCATGGTGCGGGTTGCAGGGAACGCCAAACGGCCAGGCAGACGGAGGGAAGGACATGTTCAGCGAAGAAAAAAAAAACATCCTCCGTCATGAAGAGCGACCGGGCTGCAGGCGGGGCGACCCAGAGGTAGGCCCGAGCAGTGCCAGAGGGAGAGAGGGAGGGAGGCAGAAATTGGGAAGGACGGATGGGGTGTGGGTGCAACTAGTGATCCCAAGGAGCAGGACAAGCCCGCCAGAAGCACCGCCGCCGGTGGATCTCTCCGGCCATGAGGCAGAGGCCATCGGCGGGCTCCATCTTTCATTCCTTTTTGCCAAAAGATGCGCACCACACCACACGCACCCATCTCTCCTGCTTCACACTCTGTTTGGGGGTGGGAGGCAACATCGAACAACAGATGGTAAGAATGGGCTAGTGTGGGTATGGGGCGAAGAAAAAAAAATGAAAATAAAAATAAAAAGAGATATAGAAATAGAAACAAGAATAGAAGGTAAAGAACAAAACACGAACAGGAAAATAAAATACAGAACGAATATCAAACCAGATCCACTGGGAAATCCAGTCGATGCAAATTGCAGATCCAGTCAAATGGTAGTTTTAGTTAAGCATAAGAAAAGAGTATGACACAAGATAGGCTTGGGAGGAACTAGGATCGGAGGAACAGGGGGGAAATTGAGATAATCCAAACATCTACCACCAAACCACATTTGGTAGTCATGGATGTCTAGGTACAGATCAATCTCGCAGGAAAGAACAGCAAATAGGCATAACACTGGAGAGTCATGATAGGGAAATGTATGTGTTGGCACAGGGTATGTGTGTGGTATTGTGGTATTGATCCAATCCTGGTTTCATACTTCCCCAAGGAGCGACAGACAAGAGAGAGCAACTGACTTACCAGGAGTAGTACTGAAGAAAGTGTGAATCCACGCTGGCGGGGATGGTGAGAAGCAGGTACCCCGTTTCACTTTGCTGGGGTTGGTTTGGTTTTGGGTTGCTGGTAACTACTAAAAGTAGGTCCCAACCTTAGCCGTGGCAGCGGAGTGACGTTGACTTTATCGGCCTGGTTGCACACACACTCACACAATCAACTCAACTTGGACTGCGTCTTCTTATCCCACTGTCTGCTGCTTCTTCTGCTGTTGTTGTTGTTGTTGTTGTTGTTGTTGTTGTTGTCAACGTCGTTTAACTTGCAGCTCTTTCACTTGCTTTCCCTTCCAGATAGACTCGTAAACTTGTTTTGGGAAATGTAAGGATGACCAAGATAAGATCCTCCAAAAGACGCCAATGCAGGGAAACAGTCAGTAGTGGGGAATGAATCATGTAACAATCCGAGATTCAAGACGAGAAGAGTAGGGGGGGGGGGGGGGGGGGGGGGGGGAAAGATTTTAAGATTTAGGTAGAACAAGTGAAAGTCAAAATTGATGAAAGAGGGGTGGGTGGAAGGAGGTTAATGAGGGGACGGGAGAGTGGATCGGGGGGGATCGCTAAGGGACCGCCAATTCGAGACGAAATCCAAGATGAGACAGACGCCTCAGGACGGTGTGGTGAATCACAGGTACCTGAAGGATGGATAAACGGGGCATGGGATTGGAAATTATCGGGTTATTATCGGATGAGGGGGTTTGGGATTGGAGATGGGAATGACGGATAGACTCGGGTAAAGGACACGCAGTGCAAGTAAGTCTTGGGGGGTGTGTGTGTGGGAAAGGGGAGAGAGAAGGGAGGGAGGGATGATCAGATATAGACCATAGATATAGAGAGAAAGGATATGGGCTAATTAAGTATGCGCCAGTGTGATTTTAAGTACGATGTTAGGTAGGTAGACAGGTAGGTAAAGTAGGTAACTAAGTTAGTTAGCTAAACTAGCTAGAAGGAGTAGTAGAAGGGGGAGGCATGTCAGCCAAAGCCGGGGTAAATCGAACGAGCGTGCGCGAGCCGCGTAGGGGGAAACGAACAGCAGGCTAGCTATGGACATAACAAAAGCCATCCTGGCTGGTATATCCTCCTCCTCCTCCTCTCGAATCCTGGATTTATCACGGTAGATCGTATGGAGTCACTACCCACTAGCTAGTCAAGAAAGCAGTATATCACCAATAACCAGACATGTTTCCACGACTATCACCCCCGCCATAAGCCCATGAGAAAGGAACAAGAGGGAGAGGAGACCATGATTAACGAGGGATATTAATGCCATCATATATCTACTTAGTGCGGGAGGGATTTTCGGTTGGGAGAGGAAGGATTCAACGAGCGGGGGGGGAGGCTGTGTCAAGTTAGGCGTGAGCCGCCTGGGCCTACTACTTACTATTACCTACACCTCTTTTTGGGAGGGGGAAGTGGGAAAGAAACACAGGAGGCGGGAAATAACTCGACGGGAGGACAGACGCCCCATGAGGGATCAGAGCTACTACTAACTAACTAACTAACTAACTACATCTGAGCGTGTATTCCTGGCGGCTCAATTACTACCGTGCACGGTCGGGATGACCATCCCATGCCCATCCCACCGCCTCGATAACTAAAGGAGGGAGGGAGGGGGGCGGAGCGCTATGAAGTGTTGTTGTCAAGATATCCACCGGGTCATCATCCTATAGCGGAAGAAAGGAGAGAGGGATGGAGGGTGGAAGGGGAGAGGGGGCTCATTCAGGAATGTTGCGAGCGATTGATTGACTAACCGACTAACTGACCGATTGATTGATTGCTTGATTTCTCCATGATGGTCGATGGTTGAGGAATCTTATCGGGGTCGTCTGCCATTCTCCGCATTCTTTTCCTGTTACTACGTACTACGTAGTAGAGGTCTACATAACAGCCAATTGGCAAAAACGTCATATGAAAAACCCCCCAATCATGTTTTGCTATGTTATGTTTCTCATCCCTTCTTTTTGATTCCTCCTGATCCATATGAAAAGTAGAACCATGAAATCAATCCCATGATACACTCCCATAACTCCATTCAACTGAAAAGAACTGAACTTGAACTGATTGAGGGGTTGGCTGCAGGGGTGGGGCAAAAGCGGTCACTTCAACCACGGCTCCGCCCCTGACGAAAAGAGAGTAAGTGTAAGTTGATTTGATTTGATGTGCACCGGTCAGTCATGGATCGGGGAAGGCCCAGAAATCTAAAAAGAATCCACTTTTTGCCTTTTTCTGGGCAGAGTTCGATCGACCAGCTCTTTTTGCTCAGTATCTAAGTAGTAAGATATGTAACTGGGAGTGTTGTTTAAGAATAGAATTAAGTAAGATTTAACATGGTATACTACAACCACTACATAGTATAACACTTTCGAATATACTGAGAACAGCAAGTAAAAAAATAAAAAGTAAAGAAAGAAAAATTGTAAGATGAAAATGGTATACGAAGTAGTGGACGGCCCTATTCCCCATCCGTCAATTCAGTAACAATACGGGGTTAGTCGGTTCCTCTTCCTCTTGTTCCTCTCCTCCATGGTCTTGTTTCCCTCTCGCTGCACTATTAAATCATCACCCATTCTCACATCGTCATCGAGCAGCTGCCATTTAACTAAGTAGCTAGTTAACTTACCTAATATTTCCCTAGTGGGCGATCTTTAGTAAGCCCAGCCAGCAAACCACCACACTTACTTACATAACTACTTACTTACATACACACCCATACATACTTCGTCCCCCTCTCCAATACTACCCTATCTATCGTCATAGCCCATCCAAATCAAACATCAGGTTCCTGAAACCCGTACGACAGCCATCATCCCAGTGACATACCTAACTTAGCTCACGGAAGGAGGAAGGGGCAAGAAAGTAAAACCAAAAAGACAAAAAAGGACAACTCAATCAAACGGCCGCCTCCTCTTCCCAGGGCTCAGATCTCGGGGGTTGTGAGAGGACGGGTGATTATTGCATGGCGTCAAGGCGGCACCCGTTCGGATTGGTCCCAGAGAGTGAGAAGAGGGTCTGGAGAAGATTTGGGACGCCCCAGCAACTTGCATCCCATCCAATTGCTACACATCGAATCGGGTATGCGCTCGACCCGGCAACTGCTCCATCCCCCATCTTTCTGTCTCTGTCTCTCTGTCTCTCTCTTTCTCTCTCTTTGGGCCTCCTCCGGCTGGATTTCGTGACCCTCCCAATCTGGCAAACGCGGTCCGAGCTCTGCGGCCCATATGCGCGCGCCTTTTCACAGTAGCTCCCTCCCCCTCTCTTATCCTCTTCCGACACTTCCCTTGGGCTCTGATCATCTTAAGCCTTCGTAGTCATTATATCTAGCCTACACCACAACGCACACTCACAATAAAATCCTTAAAATGGGGTCATACTAATATCATGCTCAAACCAAGCACTTACCGGATGATGGGAGGGCAGACACAAAGAAGAGGAGAGAATGGAAGAGCCGAGAGGTAAAGAAACATGGCGCACACACATGGAATAGTAGTGAGGGAAAATGATCGATGACCTCGGTTGTCATCATCACCGCCCATCATCATACCCGCACTTTAGTCGTCAACGATCCATCCCGGCCGCACCGGTGACCTATTTCCAACCCAATAGAACCCTCTCAACAATAAGACCAAAGACCACTGGTTTCGTCAGCATCCATAGAACATTCATAACCAGTAGAGGACAGCGCAACCCGTGGTGGTCTGTGACGAGTAGACGGAACCGCATGACGACCAGATGCCCAAGAGGACTGTGCGCCGCGTCAACTTCCTCTGTACCAGTCTGCCTACTTCGCTCACATCTCGTCGGCTCCTCCGTTCGCTCCCGCCACTGCGGCCGGAGTTCAAGGAGATGGCCGTCTGCTCAGTAACCCTGCTCCACGGGTCCGACTGACCGCTGACGTTCATGTGCCCAGTTGATCGACTTTCTGGTAGGAGGAAAGAAATAATAGTAATAAAATTAATGATAATCAAATGAATAATATAATTAAATCAAGGTAAAAAGGAAAGAAAAGAATTAACGTGCCTGTCAGCAAGGCAGCGTCGATGTCTAGATTCGAGGTCTTCCACTGGACCGGTCGACGGTTCCAGTCAGGCTCCGTCGGGATCCGTGCAGAAAGCCTTTGCTCCAATGTGCCAGCAGGGATCCCCCGGGGATGCTCGATCGGGATGAAAGAAGGCAGAAGCGGAGCTTTCCCTTCCTAAACAAAAGCCACCCCTCCCCCCAAAGCCCCAAATGGTCCTGGTCCTCCATGACATATACCGTGCCTATGCCACGCACGCTCGAATACGAAGGGCGTGGAGACTGGGTGCAGGGAAGGGGGTTGGCAAATAATAACGATAATATTTTTAATAATAATTTGAATCAGAAAAAAAGAAAAAGAGAAAAGAATAAAGAAAAAAAAAGAAAATCAGAGCGGAACAATAGGGAAGAAAGCGTCCCACACGACGGCGATCATCTTAAGAGCCCTCAGGCCAAAGCAGCAGTAGGGGCCGGACTAGGTCGCTAGGAGAAAACCAATAAAGCCCTGCCCAACTCTAAAATGTTTAGAGTTGAATCGACTGGAATTGTCGGTAACTTTGTCAGGATTCAGGGGGGGCACCGTTCCTAGAGCTTATATTGGACCGTCGCCAAAACTTTCGCGGGAGATCCCCAGCAGATCCAAAAGCCATAGGCGACTGCTGCTGCTGCTACTGCTGGGGCTGTGAATCTGAGCTATCTTCTTGTTGCCCGGCGAGTCCACCCACGGAAGCGCCGACAGACGCGCGAGCACGACTCTTGGACCTTTTTTCCCCGCTACTAGCATGGTTTTGCGGCTCATCTTTGGTCAACAGCAGGTGCAATTCTGGTAGGAGATCGTCCTTCCAGACCGGGTGGTAAGGGACTGGTCCGATAGTGAGGTCCCGACAAAGTGGGTGAGGAGTAGACGATCGCACCGGTGGGTGCTTGTCGAAACTCAATTCCACCCTGGAAGACCGGGGGGAGGGGAATAAAAAAAAAGCATTCATTATAACTAGTCTTACAATAGGCTCTACCACAGTGGAAGATCGCACTATTCCTCGATTACCCGGCACGAATTGGATTTTGATCGTCAGGTAACCCTCGTTGACAGGCCGGTGGTGGTGGTGACTTGCTTGCTGGCTTGCTGACATTTATTCCTCCGGAGGCGGTGGGCCAGCAATGACAGACCCAGTGCTAGGAAACTCTAAGCTGGGTTGCTCTCGAGCCTCAGGCACTATGTGTGTTAGTGGATATCGCAAGGTGACGGATGATCAATTTGCATGTTGAGAGATGGGGAACGAGAGTAAAGAGGGATCTTGGAGAAGTGACCTCCGTTTGCATGGTCAATCCATCCCGTAACAGGAGCTACTAAGAAGCTGCGACAGACTTGGCTTCATACAAGCCGTGCCTGCCTGACAGGATTTTGGTCGTGACGAGGAAGCCCTTACTATACCCAGAAACTCAAATGGTTACCGAGAGAGGACCCATACATATTGTATTGCATGCAGCTGCAAAAGCCACCGGGGGAAAGATCAAACTCTTGGGTGCCTGGTGCATACATGGGCCGATGGTCAAGTGAGGATGCACCTCATGTAACTACTACGACACGGTGACTGGTAACAAAAGTCTACTTGATCCAGGTAACTCCGATGAAGGTCCTGTTCAGCCAAGTTGATGATCAGCGACCCAAAGCAGGAGGCAACCCTAGAGAAGAATGAAAGGTTCACTTGCTGCACTCCAGACAGGCTCTCAAGCTATATGCTATGCTATGTTGGCAGTCTAGGATCCTGCGCATTCATCAGCTAACTCAACAGTAGTGTCCAATCCAAGGTGCCCCAGCATGGAACTAGGAGGCATATAGCTCGAATCCATACCTACAGCTTCCAGTTAGTTGCCATCATCCCTTACTGATGGGTAACGAAGCCTCGTATTCCGAACCAGCGCCCCGGGACGGGTTCGGTTAGAGAGAGCGAAGCAAAAGAAAAGGTAGACTGGAGCGAGAGAGGATAGTAGTTAATTGACCCCATATATTGACACATCTTTAATATCGAGTTCGTTAGTCACTGGAGTATCTAAGCGATCATGTCTTGGAATGATATTCATAGGTAATAGTAATAACTGCATCCTAAGAGGCAGATGATTCGACATACTAAGCAGGCATGTTTCTCTCTCTCTCTCTCTCTCTCTCTCTCTCTCTCTCTCTCTCTCCTACCTACGTGGACGTATTGCTTCGTATCCAAGGCGAGTGGGAGGAACGAAAACCGACCCGACCGGTCTGGGTCCGGTCCCAGGATCCAGTCAGTGTCCGTGCCATTTTTCTGGGCTGGCAGTGCCTACTTTTTCCCCACCGAATCTGAGTCACTGGACTCCCTAGTTCTCCGTATTCCACAATCCTGAAAGTCCCCACGTTCTTGAGGACTAGTACTAGTATAGTAGATAATGTGGCCCTTGTTGCATGTCCGCTATGTGTGGCTAAATGGAGCGAGAGCGAGACCAAAGAGAGGAGCCAACAGAGGGGATTCGCACAAATAAAAACCGAAGAGACAGCGCGCTATGTGATTTGCCCGGCTCCAGATGCATCCAGTAGCGCCACGGACGGTGTACCGTAGACTTGGGCCAGGAAATGAACGCGACCAGAGTGTGGTTTGGGTCATGGCTAGCTCAGCTAGTTAGTTAGGTTAGTTAGTTAGGTCGGTCGGTGGAAGGTCTTGCTCCGGTCCAGGAAGTTGGGTTTTCCCCGTTTAGGTAACGCGGGCAGGCACCATGTGAATGGTGATTGGAAGAAATAGGTTCAAGACAGGCGGGTTGTCGGAGGAGAGAAAAAAGAGGAGCTGGGGGAAATGCTGCTAGGTTACTAGTATCTCGTAGGTTGTTGTCTGAGCGGATCGTCCTAGCAGATAATAGTGGTAACTAGTAGATGGTATCAAAAGTGGTACCAAACGGGGAATGACTATCGACCCAGTCAACTACTGTTACTAATAAGTATGTACGATGTACTTAGTATTTATCCCTCCATCATACACATTACAGTTATCAGGTGCTTCAAATCTCCCGAGAGAGAGAGAGAGAGTGTGTGTGTGTGTGTGTGCTCGAGAGAGAGAGGGAGGGAGGGAGGGAGGGAGAGATTTGGAACTGTAGACTAGCACCCAAAAGGGAAGCGTCAACAGAAACAGCGGACGCGGCAGGTGGCGCTATCCTTGACAGAAAAAGAAATGCCGCACAATGACAGGGTCGTCTGGATCTAACAGGCGATCATCGCCCCCCTCCCCAAGAATGTCGAACCAAACAGGCCAGAATGGGGGGGCGACGTAAGTAAAAAAGCAGCAGACACGAGTTCGGTCGCTGTTACCAAACCCCCACCACTAGTATCAACTAGTACTAGCCGGTACTGTATAGTAGATCATTGTAAGTAAATGAAGGTGTGGTTCCCGTTCCAAACCACAGACTGGATGGAGTGCAGTTAAGTAGTAACAGTACTCCGAAGAGAGAAGACCACAACTGCACTACTAATCTATTTACATGAGGGTTTCTGGCTGATCCAAGTACCATTTAACGCTATGACGGAAGGGATGTCAGTCAGTGACAAAAAAGAAAATAAAAGAGTTGTATACCGTAGAAATCATATCTACTGTAGTTCATTGTCAAACAAATTCAATAACTATCTAACCTAAACTCAGCCAGTTTCTAAATCTCTTTCATGCGTGTGAAGAAAACATGGAGAGATGTCAGTGGCATTTCCCATCCGGGAATCAGGATTCGGAATCCCATGCAGGGCACAGGATACGGTGCCTTTTTCCCCCCTCTGCACGCTTAACGCAGGTGGCCTATTCGAGTAATGGGAGGGGAGTTCCTGCTATGTGTACCTCCGTATTGCCCCTGCACCGGATTATACAGTAAGTAGTGGTCAGTAGTCAGAAGAGATAGGGCATCCCGTGTGCCAACATTTCAACAATCCCCCAACGCACTTGGTGCATGAGTGACCGCAATTCCATCTTCTCATTCAGTTCCGCATGCGCCACTACTACGGGGCGTTCCCATCCCCTCCCTCCTACTCCTGACTAGTTTACTACGTAGTTATACATATGCAAAAGAAAGAAGAGGTAAAAAGGGAACCAAGCGCCCACTTTTGCCCGTCCCTCCCGGGCGGCGGCGGCGGCGGCGACGGCATGTTGGCCACGCACGGTGCGCATTGCCAGAAGCCTGAGGTCTGTCTGAAATGGATAGCCAGCAGCCGAACTGATTTGATGATAGGTTCCCAGATATGTTATCCTGCATAAACTAGGATGCACTGTGCCACGCCTCGAGCTCGTGTAGAAATATGATTTGGTCAATGGTGGCAATCCCCCAAAAGGGCGCCAATCGGCCGGGGAAAAGGACCGCATTCAAAGGATTCTCATTGGATGAAGGAAAAGGGAGGGAGTGATTTTCCAGTACTACGGGGTGCTACAGAGCCTGAGGATGACTTCAAATCTCCCCAAACAACAACATGTCAGGTGGCTCAACATCATCATCATCAGCAGCAGCAGCAGTCGAGTTCTATCGTGACGGGATCGTTTTCCAGAGTGTAGGTGTTGTCATCAACAATATATGCCCGTCTTTTTGGTTTAAACTATTTAGGTAGGTAGATACATACTTCGACCCATTGATTCCTTGCGACCCCCTCAACCTGGATACTGGGAACACCTACATATTTCCTCACCCAGTCTCCTTCTACCCCTTCTCTCCAGGTGCCTGTACCTACGTCGTACATCAACGAACTACTAGTTGCACACATGGCCTGGTACCCACCCGACTTGCTACTTTTACTGCTAGGCCACACTACTCCATCTAGCACGCTGGCTTGGCAATCATCCGAAAATCGGGGGAAGGACATTCATCGGGTTTACGAGGTTTGAACTTAGCTGCCTTCCACCTCCGGGATAGTGAGTCTGGAGACGCTCCAGCAAGAGTGGGAAATGATAACCAGAGGCCCTTTTCTGCTGGTTTGGCGAATAAGAATGGGGTCCATGATAATCAGTTTCGGAATGACTTCCTCTAGGCTCTAGCGAATCTCCAATTACGGCGATCGGTCGGGCGCTCCCAGGACATGGGACCTAAATCCAACGAGGGATCCACTGATGGCAATAGTTCCGGATAGCGCTTGTCCGCGCTGTTTACTTACGTCTTTCCTACGATCATCCACCCTCCACCCATTAAAACGGGTCACGACCCAAACCATTCATTTCTGCGTGGATGGTTCGATGCGGAGAAAAATCAGTTCTGTCAGTCACCCTTTGACGATGCTGCACTAATACACTAGACTAGCTGGGGGCATCTATTCATTCCTGAAGGTCGACAACACTACTACGTAGTAGTTAGCCGCTATCTCCGGCACCTCTTTAGGTAATAAACGCAGGATGGAGATCCCACGGGATACTGTCTACCGGGATACTGACTGGGCGGTACGCTTTGGCAAAGCCATCAACCGCCCCTCACTAGTCTTCCTTAGCTCTTGACCCCTACCAGCCATTCCGATCGGGGGATGCCTTCTTTGGCACAGCGGGACTGGCGCGCGCACATACACACACACACACACACACACACACACACACACACACACACACACACACACAATGCAACGCGCTTCGTCATGCGATCGATCCTGTAGGCTGTAGTGGACTGACTCGACCTCATCCACCGGGACATTGATCCCAGCAATAGAATCAGGGATGGGAGAATCAGGACCTGGACACCGTCCGTGCCCCAGAGACGAGGCAACCAAAAGGCGAGGATACAGTAGCATAATAATACATGACACAGTAAGTAGCAGGTACAGTAGGCCCGAACCCCCACACTCCATCCCTTGACTGTGCACTGCTCTTTGAGGATCAGCCGGAATAATATCATCAGCATACCTATTAGAGGGATGAGGAATGACTGGTCATAGGGTTGGCGACGTGACCTGTCGTGGTTTTCTTTTTATTTTTTTTGCTGTATTATTCTCTTTTCTCATCACTTTCTTTCTGGCCGTCCTGCCGTCTTAGTTGGCCCTGCAGGATGAGGGCGACGCTAGACTAGGGCACCTGCTGGTGTCAGAAGTGTATCCTCTGTTTCACAACCTCAGAAGAAGGGTTAATCAGGAGCTCAGGCTTGCTTGATGCACACCCAGATGAGGATGGTAACACACGCTCAGCCTGTCTTGATTGGAAAAGCCCATTGTCTGTGGGCACCAACCTGGAATGGGGGCTTTTGAGTTACGGCTGATGGATCATGGATGTCGATCAGCCATGGCCATCTTCTTGAGTCTCCATCGCCCGCCATTCCTCGCCATCTCCTTATCATCTCGGGTCCGACCCTGCCATGTTCCCCTAATAACTCCGTGGTAATTTTAAAACTACGTAGTCATCATCCCATTCATGAGTCTACTAGTATCAAACTGGTCTGTTCAGAGCTCGGCAATAATCCAGCAATCATACTATTCCTTGGCATCAATCCATGCAGTGCCCCCCCCTCGGTAGATGTTAGATTAATTTTAATTTAGCATGTCGACCATTTTTCCAAACCATGTGGCTCATCCTCACAATTGACCGCAAAATGGCTAGGGGTAACCTGGCTTGACCAACTCCGGCGTAGTCTGACTGAGGTTGTCCGGATGTCCAGTGGAAAGTCCTGGTGGCCCATCCGCTTGTCGCTGCTAACCACGAAGCCATGGAGATTATTGGCTTCGAGTGAATGCAGTGTTGATCCCCATAGATGGTATCTATCTATCTACTCCGTAGTCAACGATACCCCTACGAATTTAGCGCTATCCTTTAGGCACATCACAAATCGTCGAATTAATTTTCCAAAAAATGTTCCCACCCCCTACTAACTACTAACGGAGTACTAGTATGAAGGGACCCCAGCCGCGCGCACATGGAAGAAGGACCCAGTATTCAGCAGGACTAGTTCTGCTCTTAGTCGCTTGCTCTTTGACCTATTCATGCCACTTCTCACACCGCAACCAATATCGCCTTCAGCTTGGGTCGTCATTCTATGGTAGCGGTGTTATTGCTTTTGCCCGTCTGCATGCACCCCATTCCGATGAAGGCAGTATCTACCCAGACGGTCGCACAGTCTTTTCGTCCCTAGATGCTTTGAGCAAGCTTCTAGACCTCCTTCTAGGCACCAAGCCACTGCCCCCTTGCTTGTCAAAAGTTATTTTCTTTTTTCTTTCAGCCTTTTTCCCTTCTTCTTTTCTTTTATTCTTTTTTATGTAATTTTAATCTTCCAGTTGACCTTTCATTTTGATTAATTTCCCTCCCTTCATGCTCTCAACATGACTTGCTGGTTTCTCCTGCCGGCTCATTCCATGGCAGCCCACACGTTGATTCTTAACTAATACTGCATTGCTCAACGCCTTGTCAGCCACGCTTTTGGGTCGATGAGTGGAGGAGGAGAACAAAGTGGACCATCACCATCTACTCACACAGTACTTACTCCTTTCAGCGCAAGTGCCAAGTACTTCGATCCAATTCTTTCTCTCTTTACACCGCGACCACCCACTTGATACCGATACTAGTAGTAAGTATACATCGCCAGCCTTGTTCATGGATATTACCATTATGTAGTCTTCTCCCCCTACCCCTTCATCCCGCCTTTTCCACTCCCCTCAGACTATGCAATTAGACCAGGTACACCCATCCCTAATAGTCACTAGCCCGGTTATAGTAATCAGTAATATAGCTAGCCACCTGCGAATTTCCCCACAGTCTAGCCAGGGATCCAGATCCCGACCACCACCCAGCCTAGCAGCACCACCACTACCACCATGCCAGAAAAAACGTGGCTCGGGGCCATCGGCGCGTGTCTTAAGATTTTTTTCTATTACTTTTGCGGAAATTTCTGCGACAGCTTCGAGACATCAGGCCTTTCTTCCATCCAATCCGTCAGTCAGTCTCCATCCTATGACGATTTTGAGGAATTTCCTTCCTTCCTAGACCTATCTGCCTACCTACGTTAGTAAGAAAGATGATTAGTAGTAGTTGAGTTCGGAGCCAAGTTACCTCGCCTATCCCTCATTTCAGCTCTTCCTCCCTCCTTTCCCCCTTTCCCCCTGGGCATTGAGGTCATGCTTGGCGCGCCAACCTCGCTGACGGGTTGCCATTCTTGCTGGGGCCAGTTCGTTAATTGACGGCCGGCCGGTCCGATTTCAATCCCTGTCTTACTACTTAGTTAGTTTGAGGGGTTTTGCTCGGGACACTAAGCTAGTAGACTACTATCTAGGCAGCCAGGCATGTGGTTTAGTTAACTTTCAGATTAGTGTGCTTCAAGTTCCTAGTTATTGCCTCCCATGTTCTTATTTCCGAGGTGTTTAATTTTTTTTCTACTAGTATACTACTATTATAGACAGGGTATACACATAGCACTTACTCCCACTCCCGTACGTACCTATCTTAAGTAAGTAGATTGGGGGTTTGTACAACTTACCCAGATAGACACCCTGTCCATGTATATACTTACTTTCTTGTTCTACCCTACTTTTGTGTAGTACCAAGATGCCCTTATTATGTATATGTACCCATGGCGTATACTCCGCCGCCTTGTCCATGTGTCCATTCACCACCCAATCAGATCTACACTTGCCATGCACAACGATATCATACCACAGCACCGGACAAAGACGTTGACGCTTGCGTAGGTACTCACTTTGTCCTACGCTACATCTTGTTACAAAGCAGTACTACTTGATTTTTCTTCTTTTTGCCCCAGTGGATTCACGCTGACTAGTAAGTAAGTAGACAGTATGAAAATAGCAGCAGCAGCAGCATCCATGCAGTAAACAGTAGGCTAAGTGAGAAAAGCAAAAAAAAAAAAAAAAAAGGAAGAAAAGAAAAGACTAGGGATCATATTCCTAGCGCAACGCCACTAGTTCCAGAATATCCGAACTTCTTCGTGTCGTTTGATAAGGGGGCGGCTTTTTTTCCATTCCTTTTTTTCCCTTAGACGCGGCAGCGGCAGCGAGCGGCAACATCATCATCATCATCATCATCATCATCGTCATCGCGGCCTTTTTATTTTATTTTTATTCATTGATTAAGAACTATATTAGTAGGATGTATTATTAGGTGAACAACTAGACTAGCTAGTTTTCTACCGTAAGTCCGGAATCCTTTTCTTTTTTCATTCCTAATTTAGCGTCTGAGCCACTGGTTCTTTGCGTCTCTGATTGCGGACTAGTTCGGGCGCTGCTAAATGTAGATCGACATGGTATGTTTGGAGATTTGTTTCACTGTTGTATCTAGCAATAGCACTACTTACGACGGAGTGTGGAAGGCCGGCTGGCTAACTACAAAGTGACTAGTTGCAAAGCAGTTTAGTTATTCAATTAGTTACTATTATTCTGATTATTAATTTCGTCGGGCGCGCGGGGCAAGGAACTTGGATCTTGTGATTTCATCGATGATGAGGATGGTGATGATGCTGGTGGTGAGTGAGGTGGTCTTCACACCGTATTTTGTTCCATCAATTACAGTACGCATGATTTGTTAGTTATACTCCCTACGTATCGCTCTATCAGAAGATCAGATATCAGTGTCGTCTTCATCTTTGCTAGGAAAATAAATTAAGTCACTTGCAGTATTTAGATGGACGTTAACTCTACTTTTTTTTAATTAAATACTGAGGAGTTTCTAATTCTTTAAGCTTTGAAACGGGCACTTAAGCAATGCTCAACAGACCAATTGCCCAACTAGGCAGGTACTATATGTATTACAGCGTACAGTAAGTAGTGGTAGTGAGTAGTTATCTGAGTGACCGCGGCTCTCCTGATTACTTACTCGCATTACTACTTACAAGATAACGAACTACTGACTATCTAGTTATTCAGACATCGAAGTGACTATTTAACTTACTCCTAACGAGTTAGCATACATCACTACTTCCCTCCCGCCAAGTGCCAACACTCTTGTTGCCCCGCTCGCTCGCGTCTGCAGAGGATGATGGCCGAGGAATAAGAGGAAGGAGCAGAAGGAGGAGGCTCAGCTGAAGAAATCCTTCTCTCTTTCTTTTTGAGTCTTCTGACATACTCAAACTCATCTTGGAAATGCATCCTGCAGATACTAACCGGACTGACTGCCTAGCATCTTGGGCCCGGGTTTCGGGAGGGGAGAAAACTGAGAGAGGCTGAAGACTCCTGCCTGGTACAGTATGGTGCAGAATTCCAAGTTTTCGTCTACGAGATACTTAGTCAGTTGCCTGTGGCTAATGACTTGTTTTCTCAATAGTGCAGAATCCCTACTTACTCAGTATCTACTTACTTCCCTGCCTTCCTTGGTCCTGGTGGATATTCGCCGATTATTAGTATCATGTATGTGGGTTGGATGGCTTGCTACTACTTACTAGTACTAACCGATAATTCCAGGAAAGAAACAAACCAACATATCCGGGACCACTTTTTGACGCAAACATGGTCAATTTATTTATGTATTCCAAATGAGAATTCCGCGACGGCAAGGCAACACACAGACAATTCCTCTCGCAAATTTTGGCTACGCTACATGTGTATACTATGCCAAATGCACGGACATTCTCCGGCTAACTAACTATCATTACACTGCTTACACTGCCGGCTATAGAAAGCGGCAACTAACGAAGGTTCAGGTTTCACGGCTTTCTTCGGTAATCAGGTTGAGTGCCGGTTCGACAGACAGACGGTAGACTATATGCATATGGTATGCAAGATGCCCAGCTAAGCGAGGTCAATCGTACATATTATCAGGGTTATTTTATTTTTTTTTTTTTCTTACTATCGCTGTGAAGATACTTGATAGCGTGGCTCATGAAAAAGCAATGCAAGGGGTAAAGTCGGTAAGTAAACCCCAGCCGGGATATGATCGGGATTATTTTATTTTCTACTTTCCTTTTTGTTTTGAAAGCGGCGGTTTCTTCAGACCCGCGACAGACGGAATGGGTGGGTGGGTGTGTGTGGGGTGGGAAGGGAAGATGGAATGAGATCGGACATATCATCTACGTACTACTAACTTCGACTCTTACATTTACTTTGCTTCACCCTGGGGCATTGGGACTGTTACTGGGTGGTCAAGATATACGCTGACGAATCAAGAAGTGACAGTTGGTTTACTTGGTATAGTAGGATAGGTAAGTTCGGTTAGATCTACACTGCAAAGAGCCTTTCAACCCTTGCCTTAACCTGCCAAGGTAGATTAGGTATAGATGGGTAGATCTGGTTGCGTTGCCTGTGTGGATACCCAACCCGATCGATCAATCATCATCATCATCCACCCACACATAACCCCCAGAGACATACACAGCAGATGAGATCAGATCGCATCGTCTGGTACTATGCACGTCCCACATACTATGTACGTATTCCTTAGGTACCTACGGAGTACATTGCGATGAGACACGGTAGAGCCGTTTTCTTTCTTTCTTCCCTTCCCTTCCCCATGGGTAAAGGACAGAAAAATAAATCGCAAACGCAAGGTTCTTCTTTCACTTTCCATTCTTTAACTTGACACTAACTAGCTAACTATACGTTCGGTCCTAACTTACGTATACCCTAACCATCCATATCCATCTTACTTTCCAAGCACCCACCCCAGGCCAGTGCTAGTATCTTCATCTACTAAACTACCTACTACCAATCTTGATACCAAATAAATACACGACATGCCACCCCGATGAAAAAGATGCCGGGGGAACCTTCCCCGAGGAATGTACATACCTCCCATCAACCCTAACCTAAGTAGTAAGCTAACCATAAATACATAGTTTCCACGAATCTGCCATCTCCCCTTCAAGAATGTAGAATGTAAGAAACGTGTGTCTGTGTATGTGTATGTATATGTCTGATGGCTGTGTCAATCACATGGCAAGTAAAGTTAGGAGGATCTTGTCGACATTCTTACCCTTTCCGTTTCCCTTTCCCTCATTTCCCTTTTTGTCTGTAACCGCACAGACAGACATATGGGGTTGGACTGGCATGGCATGATGGCTAATGACATACGTATACGTACTGCTCTGCTATGTTGGGTAGGTAGGCATGAGGAATGTGGCTGAGTACTACGTACGGTACTGTGCTGTGCTGGGCTGGGCTGGGCTGGGCCGCGCTCGTGCTCGCTTTGCCACAAGCTAATTAATGGAGAGTTCTGGACTATTGTCAATGGGGGTTGGGTACCTTGCTTGATTATAGTATAGATATTAGATAGACTAGGATGGGAAATGAAAGGAAGGATAGGTAGGATACCCTTGCTGGAAGGAATATGCTGTACCATCTTGAGGATTCGAATTTCAATAGGATGGGTAGATGGATGGATGGATAAATGATACATCATCGGGGGTTTTCTACTTTGGGTGCTTGGGTCATGTTGTGTGAATATCAACACGAGCGGTGGTTTGTGTTTGTGTTTTGTGTCACTGGTAATGCTGGGTTTGGGGAGGAGAGGATTGAAAGCGGGAGGGGATGTAAGGTGCGGTGCAGTGCGCTGCGATACGCCGTTAGTAGTGTATAGTAGATTGGCTAAAAGGGAGGGAAGGGGGGGGATCTATAAGGTGAAGTAGAGTTTCTCGCTTCTGCGTTTGTTGCGTCGGATATCTTTTCCTGGTGGTGTAGCTGGGGAGGTGTGAGTGGTCTATACTAGCACTACTTGTGTAGATGTATAAAAGTGTGATGGCTTTGCTGGATGGTATTTACTGGTGTCTATGTCTATGTGTAGCCTAATAGTATTGAAATAAGGAATTAGTATACCTGCTCGGTCTATCAGTAAAGTGAACGTACTCTATACCAAACGTGCATGAAATTACTCTCGTTTTCTCGTCTACAATTTCATTTACTAGGACGATCAATTCTTCAGCAAAACGCATAGATACCCAACTAGAGCACAATCAAGCCTCTTTACGAGTTGAACTACAGTCTAGACCTACTATTACTTTTTCAAAGACGCAATCTGTCTCGGAAATCAACTACCATACTCCCTCCCTCCTAGCCACCTGACTTCAGTATCTGAAACAAACGCGTACCTCAGTTACGAATTCGCTCTATCGACGGACAATCTCCAAAGCGAGCGTGTATACACAATACCGCAATTCCAGTCACACAGTAATATCCAAGACATATACGAATCAATTCAATAGTAAGGGCTGATGTCTCAGCCATCATTACACCCCACCAGTATAGCCATGGACATGCGGTGGACATCAACAAGAAAAAAACGAAACAAGAGATGAGGCTATCAATAACTTGTGTTCTCCTTTCATTGGTTGGTATACCGTATGCCGTGTGCTGGTTTGCTTGTGGCGGGTTTGCTGCGTCAATGATAGTGCTGGTGGTGGTAATTAGAGGCAATGGTCCAGACCCTACGCAGAGGTCTGGTAAATGGAATAAAATGTCTATACTGATAGACTGCACTGATGTGAAACGTTGAGCATTGCTATCTCTCTAAAAGTACGGTTTCAGTTTTGTAGACCGGCGTGTGAGTTGTAGCTTGGCTTGTGGCTTCTGTTGTGCTATTGTGGTTGTTGGAATATAGGGGCTTGTGGTTTTGTGTCATGGTGATAAGTGATCAGTCTCATTGCGCTCTTGCTAGGGGAGAGAAGTGAGTTGATATTTGTGATGAGGGGGTATTTTGTGTAACATGCTGTTTGAGATGTATATACTCGTCCGCTATTGATGATCTTTAGTGGGATGCGGTGTGGAGGTTGACATTGAGGCTTGATGGGTATTTGCTCTATGGCCTTTTGATAGGAGCAGCAAGTAGCGAGCTATTCTGGGATACATAGCATGTAAATTATACAGTGGAAGTACTTTATATATGTGGCTAGAAGAATCAGGAGAAGGTTGGTTTCGTATATGAGAGAATATCAAAGTAGGCTATAGGTTACAGCTTGGTTTGACCGGGTCAGCACATGGTATGATATCAAGCTAGATCAAGCATCTCAGAGTCTCATCAATCATCAGTTGTGGGAAATAGGAGTTATTTGTTAGCGGAATACTTGGCATGGAAGCACTGGAACAACCCCGGCGTATAAAGCTCCTTGCGATACATTATCTGAGTCAGTTGGATATTTCAACTGGCTGAAAGTCCGATTGTTGTCAACTTCCTTGAGTGAGTGCCATGGCTATGCACTTGTCTAGCCATGTCTGTCTCTGTGGTGACCAGCGTGCGACAACATCCTGAATAGCCCAGAGTCCAGCATACATCTCCGCCTCTCCTTGTATCCTAGCCTTCCATTCATAGCCCTAAAACCGATGGATACAGCGAGAATGTATCATGGCACCGGCCACAACCAAGGAACTGCTTGCGTGTGATACAATATTGGCCGATTAGAGGGGACTATTTCGCAGTTTGTCACTGTCGGGTTGCAGGCGAAGGCAGTTGACGGCTTTCAATGTTCGGCTGGGCTGATACCTTTTGTATGCGAAAGGATCGGATCAGGTCTGGAGTTGGAACTCATAGATTAGCATCCTGAAGTGTTGAAGGCAACCGTTGGGTTAGCGAACAGGCTCGAATCATGGATGCTTCTCGAGGCAGACTGAGAGAAGTGTGACACAGACTCCTATTGACCCGACTCGCGTGAGACAAGGTGCCATCATGGAAATCCAACGGTCCCTTCAGTGGTGCAAGGGGTAATAGGATATTGATACCATGATTTAGATGAAGGCTGGGTAAATATGAGTTTTATAATTAAAGTCATTAGTGAGGAAGACTGGTGTGCTTGTCAAGATTTCTGATCCTCAGTGAAAAGGGTGAAGTCTGAGGGTGACAGCGAAGGAAGTTCGACTAGTTAGCGGGTGACATCCCGATCCCGCTCCTCCCCTTCTCGTCTTCGCATACGTCCAACAGCCTGCTTTTGGTCCAGAAAGCTCCGAGAACAGCAAGGCTAAAACTTTGCTATCGGATCAATGTCTCTTGATAACATGAATGCTCTAACTTGATCCACCAGACATGGATCTATATGTGCTCGACTACCGCAACAAGGGCCACATACTAGTGCAGTGCACTTTAGACCTGCTGGCCGAGGGGACTAGCATCAGCGCTCGGTGTTCTTGGTCTACAAAGCCCTACAGAGGTTGCATAGTCTAGGATTACCAGTAGGTATGTTGAGCTTTTGCCAGGTAGTCGAGTTGATAACCTTGATTATCAAGTGGGGTGCCCAGCTGTGCAAGCACCATCAGGGGCATTTCGTGACACCTCGCTCATCAGCCACTGTCGCCTCCTCACGGTTTGTTCCCCCTCGCTCTGCTCCTTGGCTCACTCAAATCAATTATGAATCAGCATATAAACCACGTCTCGGATCACCAATTTTACAACAGGCACCACGTTCTTGCTTTAGGAGGGTCCCATACAGGCTGCACCAAAGCTTGTGCGGTCTATTCCACCCGTCGCGCGTTCTGACTATATCACAAGCCCCCTTTCATATACAAACCACTGCTGAGCGTGAAGTTCAGCATGTATCCGGCATACGCTGCTCTCATGATCGCCTTTCCCATACTGGCAACGTCAGCCACCAAGCTGACGACGACAACAGTGGTCACAACAGCACCTCCTACAGCATATGTTCAAGTCTTTGAGGCAAATGCCGTGTTTTACAGCAGTATATTCAGTTTTCTAGCTGGAAGCATCGTGAATGTGGATACTGTGGAGGGCCTGACTACCATCGGGACCAACTGTATCCATAGCCTGGCCGTCAACTGCTCGTTGGAGACTGTCGGTTTTCCCCCTACGTTTACCATAGGGCCTTCAACGTACATACACAGCTCAGACGGCTCAGAACAAAACTCTCAGCAGTGCACTAGCAATATCGACTCAAGGGCCTGCAGGATCTTTTCTTCAACCCAAAGCGCATCTTGCGAGATTTTTGCGAGCTACTGGTATTCTGACGCCCACACGAGCACATCCAAGCATACAAAACGTCATACGACCTTGAAGTCTTCAGATATCAAATACCACAATCTATTGATCACGGCAGGTATTGAGAAGCTCCCAACAGCAGTGACGACGTCACAGACCCAGAAAAGGACTGCCACCGTCCCCACGGCTACTGCTTTGGCCCCTACCACGGCCGCTGCCTCTTCTCCCAGCCCAGCTTCCCAATCCCATCCCTCGAAAACGTGGGTTGCCGGACCGGTTGTGGGAGCCGTGGTCGGGTGCGGCCTGATAGCAGCTGTGTTATACTGGTGTCTCAGGCGAAAGAGACAGAAAGTGCCATCGGCTGATTCTGGACCAACAATTCAGGATCCTTCAGAGGAAATCAGGGGACTCGGCAGCCCTGTTAAGTCTGCATACAAAGCGTGTATGCCAGCGGAAACTCAAGGAACCCCTGTATCCGAACTTCCGGCAGATGAGCCTCCATGCGTTCGACATACTGCCTAATCTTTCTCGGGGCCAGAACAACAATGGACAAAGCGTAAATATTGCAGTGGGCGAGATTCGTGCTCGAACAGATCTATTAATTCAAAGTTATGTCAAGCCTGTTAGTGGGGTCCCGGTCTCAGTAAAAACTGTGGAGAATATGCATTATCACTGACGATGGTGTGGGTCTTTCCCTATATCTAATCATCTCAAATTTATACAAATTGGGTGCCAAATCCTACCCGGAAATATTCCTCGTATGACATTGTACAGTAGAACAGCTGAGCGAGTTGAAGAACTCATATACAACAAGCACTTACACACATTTACCACCCTGTATTTGTCTCTATATGAGTACTGCCATTCAACCTTGCTATCATGAACTGTTTCTCTTATAGCAACTCTAGTCTGCCATGTCTATATGCAGTCACATGACCTCGGAGGAACCAAAACTCCGTCGGCATTTTCTCCCATCGCGAGTCTCGACCAAGGTCTATACTCTCCTTCTCGTTCCCCCTTTCGCTTCCTGTCGAACGTCCGGTCCTTCTCGCACTTCATTGTCTCGAGTGATCATCATCCGGCGTCGTGGATGGCCATTACTCCGTCAGTAGGATTGATCGCCGCCTGACCCGAGACTCACGTGCCCAGGAGTCTCGCGGAAGCCGGATATTCTCACCGTTCAGACAGTAGTATACTTCGTTCAATCCAGTCTTGAAACGCCTCAGATCCTTGGTTCCAAGCGACGCCGTTGAGTGTTGGTTACAGGGCTTGTTCTTTCGTTTCCACGATCTCGCCTTCTTTCCTTTCGGCTACTTTTCTCCTGCGTCACGTGGTTATATGGTCAGAACGTTTAATATTGTTCTATGACATGACTGCTTTTGTTATTTGCTAGTACTCTGCACCAATTGAATCGCATCAGCCGGCTTCATTTTATCTACTGGGCTTCTGGAAAGCATTGTCTGTTGGGAACCATTCAACAAATATATTCGCTATATCTGAGCGATACCGCGCGAGCATCATCCGGATCTTTCCATCATCTACCGACTCACCGGCTTATTCATGACAGCGATTGCAATGTTTCCAATGCCTCTACGTGTATCCAGGCAATGCGCTCGGCTATTTGCATCCCCGCTGGTGAATACTCCCCTCTCCCAGCGAGGATGGCAGATGTCGGTAACAGAAGCACGCAGCTTCTCAGCGATTACTCTGGGCAGTCGCTCAAGGACTCAGGCAAAGTACGATTCAGCTGAATGTGGCCATTGGGACAAGTCGCTAAATCAAGGTTCAGCACATTACGAAAGAAGGTCGGCCTTTGCGCTATAGAGTCGCAATTGGTGCGAAGCGTTGGCCAACAGAAGCGATACTCCGCACAAAAGCCAACAGATTCAGACTCTTCAAGGTGAGCAGTTACCGTTACGCATGTCAGACATGTAGAGCCATCGAGGGCTGCACTCTGTTATCAGCCCCTCCCGAATTCTAACCGTGTCATATCTGTAAAAACAGCCTCAAGAAGTCGCCAATTCTCTCCAAGCTGCCTCGGACTCATGAGAATATCTACACCGTCCCCAACATTCTCACGTTCACCCGTCTACTTGCTGCACCTATGGTAGGATACTTTCTCGTCCACGACCACCACGTAGCCGCACTGGGTCTGTTCGCATACGCCGGTATCACAGATCTTGTGGACGGCTACATCGCACGGCGATGGAATTTGCAAACCGTTGTCGGAACGATCATCGACCCGATGGCTGACAAACTGCTCATGACCATCGGAGTCACCTGCCTGGCCGTGAACGGGTCCATCCCAGGTACGTTGTGTCCCCAGGGCACAAACCAACGACGAACCTTCGGCTCAATTGGCTAACTAACCCAGTCTGGCTCGCTGTAATCATCCTGGGACGGGACGTCGGACTAGCCATTTCTGCAATCTACTACCGATGGATATCCCTGCCACCGCCCAAGACCATGGCCCGGTACTGGGATTTCTCACTCCCCTCGGCCGAAGTGAAGCCCACTACGGTGTCCAAGATCAATACGGCCCTGCAGCTGCTCCTAGTGGGTAGTGCGATTGCGCTTCCTGTACTTCCCGAGACGGTCATCGACGCTTGGAGCCTGAGGGAAGCTATGACCGGATTCCAGTGAGTGGCCCATTTTATTTCCCAGTTATCATTGTTACCCTTGCCCCGTCACTGTTGTAAAAATGTGTGCGTGTAAAGCGGGAAGAGGCCTATGTAAACCCGTTCTGGTGTATGTCTAGTACATACGACCACAGGGTGTGGAAAACAGGGCTTCCCGTCCGCTCAGCCGTACTTAAGCCACACACCGGGAGGTTAGTAGTTGGGTGGGTGACCACCAGCGAATCCCTTCTGTTGTATGTTTTTATTTTTTTTACCTTATATTTTTTTTTTACTCGATTGAACTGTTGCAGAAAAATTCATGATGAGATTAACTAATGGTTATTAAAGGTACCTCGTCGCCGCAACCACCCTCTGGTCCGGCCTGAGCTACGTCTTCTCTAGGGATGCCGTCAAAATCCTCTCCAAGGAAGAAGTCCAGAAACGCATTGCCCGCGCCGCGGCGGGTAAGAAGCCTTGATTAACCCCCCCAGCTCATATAGTAGTTGTCGCATCATAGATGAAGTCTGTGTGAAGGTGTATGTATGCATGTATGCATGTATGTATATATAAATAGAGCATTGTTGTTTTCGGGTTATTTCGCATTGTATAATTAGTTGTGGGATTCGATACTAGATCATTTCTAAAACTTCATCGGTCGCTGGAGTGTAGCCGATGTAAATATATATCCGATGATGGTAGTAGTATGTGACCTGGACCACCCTCTCCACTACTACTACAGTACGTCACAATCATGATGTCAGTATCAATGAGAAAGAGTTCACCCACCAAGCAGTTCACATATATCATAAAGATCCAAGTGGTGTGTGGAGAACTTAAGCAAGTTAGCTACGGTCGTAAATAGTTAGCAACAGTCATAATCAGTAAAAGATAGTCAAGAATAAAGTCTACACTAGTTACTAAGCCTATATAAGCTGTTAAATATAAAATAAATCCTATATATCAGTTGCTCTACCAGTATACATTGTACAGAATAGTACTCGTTTCAATCTCCACAGGTCTGGATACAGGACTAGAATGTCCTGTCTCACCACCAACCATGCTATTCCATCGGTCGCCAACTCCATAGCAGATAAACAAGAAGAGAGATGAATTGGTATATGCACGTATCCGGGATCCACGGAGAAAATTATAATACACGGAGACTCCCTAGAATGAGATATGGAAAAAAAAAAGGTATGATAATATACACAAGAGGCCTCTAAACCAAACCATCTTTCGATTTTAATACAACCCTCGAAATGACACCGATACGCCTAGCCCAGTCGACTCGATTCGCCTGTCGCTGTGATATGCAATAATGTAGTATAGTCATCGTTCAACACCACTTCCCAATAAACACGTCATCAATGATGGCACCAGATCAAGGCGCCTGGCTAATAACATCGTCAGGGGTCTCCTCAAGCCCCTCCGATGCGGGAGCAGTCCTATCCCGACTGGTCCGATGCACGTGCATAAGCACCCTCAGGACACCGGAGGGAGTAACACCTTCAATGCGCCTCGCCATGCCGATACTGACGGGACGGACGCGCTCCAGGGCCTGCTTTTCCTCGATGCTGATGCCTTTCACTGTAGCATAGTCCAGATCAGCGGGGATAGACAAGTTCTCGTCGCGGAGGGACTTTTTGGCTGCGTTTTCCTGGCGGATCACGAAGGGGGCGTAACGGCCTTCGATGGAGACGCGGTTGCGGATCTCCGGGGGGAAGGAAGAGGCGGAGTAGACGGTGCCGGTGGGGGATTCGATGTGCGGGATGAGAGAGTCGATGTCGCTTTCGCGGAGACAGAGGAGATCGAGGGCGGAGCGTTGAGAGGGGTCGATGCGGGCTTTGAAGCCCTTGCGGGCCCAGGCGTAGGAGGACATCTTGGTGTTCTCGAGGAGGGTTTGAAGCTCGTTGATTTGCGCTTCTGTTTCCGTGAAGTGGCGCCAGCGCTTGTCGGAGACGATTCCGGCCTCGCGGGCCATCCGGGTGAGACGGAGGTCGGCGTTGTCGGAGCGAGTGGTGATGCGGTATTCGCTTCGTGTCGTGAACATGCGGTAGGGCTCGGAGACGCCCTTCGTGATCAGGTCGTCGATCATGATGCCGATGAATGCGTCGGACCGGCGGAGAGTGAGCGGTTCCCGACCTTGGGCGGATAATCCTGCGTTGGTACCAGCAATGATACCCTGTCCGGCGGCTTCTTCGTAGCCGGTGGTGCCGTTAATCTGACCGGCGAGGTAGAGACCGCTGATAAGTTTTGTTTCAAGCGTGGGGCGGAGATTGCGCGGGTCAATGTAGTCGTACTCGACTCCATATCCAGGTTGAAGCATGGTTACGTTCTCGAGACCGTGAACCTTTCGCAGCATGGCATACTGGGCGTCGGCAGGGATAGTCATGGAGATACCGTTGGGGTAGATGACGTCGTTTGGCGCGAATCCCTCTGGCTCGAGCCAGATCAGATGGCGCTTCTTATCGGTGAAGCGGATGATCTTGGACTCGAGTGAAGGACAATATCTGGGTCCCCTAACGGTCTCGCGGATGTGAATGGTCTTGTCCAGATTCGCCCGGACAATATCGTGAACGTCGTCATTAGTGTAGGTCATCCAGCAAGTAAGCTGGGCCTCGTCGTCGACCTGAACCCTGCCATTGAGATAAGAGAATGGACTTGGAGGGTGATCACCCTCCTGGACTTCCAAAGGCGCAAAGTTGATCGTCTTCCTATCCAACCGCGGAGGTGTCCCCGTCTTCAAACGACCCAGCGTGAACCCAGCATCCCGCAAAGACTTGCTAAGTCCGAACGTAGCAGCCTCACCCATCCGACCAGACGGGTACGCTTCAAGCCCAATATGAATCTCTCCACCCAAGAACGTTCCCGTCGTGATAACCACCTTGCCAGTGGGTATAACCTCGCCAGACTCCAGCCTGACACCAACAATCTTGCCCTGCGCCCCGGGGGTATGCTCGACCCCATCCTTCGACACCACAATATCCGCAACCTTACCCTCGACGATACTCAATCCTTCCGTCCCTTGCAACTCCTCCTGCATGTACTTCTTATACAAATCGCGATCGATCTGAGCACGGGGACCCCAAACCGCCGGGCCCTTGGATCGGTTCAGCGTGCGAAACATAATACCGGCCTTATCGATGATTCGTCCCGCGACACCATCCATCGCATCAACTTCCCGAATCATAGTACCCTTTCCGATTCCACCAAAACTCGGATTACACGAACAAACACCGATATTGGATAGCGAAGGCGTGATTAATGCGGTTCGGGCGCCTGAACGAGCAGCCGCGGCACAGGCTTCGGAGCCTGCATGACCTCCTCCAATGACCACCACATCGTATGCTCTGTAAACAAGCCAGAATTAGCTTCAAAGCACTGCATACACCCCCCGTATAGGATAGAAAAAGAAACATACCGCGTCCCATCCGACACCGTCGCCAACCCACGTCTCCTACCCAGCACATTCAACTGGGATGATCTCGGCTCCAACCCCCAACGAAGAAGGGCAACGGAGCGAGCCCGAAAAGCCATTTGCGAACGGGATGGCCTAGAGCGTCAAGGGGGGGGATGTGGAAAGGGGAGAAGCTAAGAAATTCGATGCTTCCGCAACCGGAAATAATCTCACTACTAAACTAATCCCATAGATTTAATTAACCTTTTTTTGCCCCGGAAAAAAGAACTCATATCCGCATCACGTGCGCGACAAGCCAAGGGCCAAAAAGCTTAAATCCGATCCAAACTCCGAAAGGCGGTGAAATGATGTGCTTTGCTGACGTAATGACGAAATGAGCCGAAGTTTTGCTCTACAGCCAATCACACGAGGGGCTTATTTCACGGCGCCCCGCGGCGGCTTTATTGGCTTTGGGGTGGACTTATATTCGCCGTTGATCCTCGTTCCTGGTTTGTTCGTTCTTGTTTTTGTCGAACTTGTGGATTTCGTGTGCCATTTACATCTGTTAGAATTCGTTGAAAATGAAGGCTTACTGGTACGATAACAAGCCGGTGAGTTCATCCTGTCTATCTATCCCGTTTTGCACCCCTCCCCACCTCGCATGGTTTCGTCACTTACCCCTCCATTGGTTACCACTATGGCCACCGACTGACATTTCATGATTATCAGGGCGACCAGCGCGAACCCCACGACGACGGTCGTCCCGTCGACGAAGCCTACCTCGCCTCCCTGGGTGTTTTCTACAAGTACTGCCCGAAAATCGAGGACGTCGATGCCCTGGCCGCCGAGCGCGGATACAAGAACCGCGATGAGATCACCGTGTCCCCCAAGACCATGGGCGATGTGTACGAGGAGAAGGTGAAGATGTTCTTCCACGAGCATCTCCACGAGGACGAGGAAATCCGCTACATCCGGGACGGTGAGGGATACTTTGATGTCCGTGGCAAGGAGGACGAGTGGGTGCGCATCAAGTTGGTGAAGGATGATTTGATCATTCTCCCCGCGGGTATCTATCATCGCTTTACGACGGATGAGAAGAACGTAAGTTTGCCATTGTGTAGCTGTGGAATGGTGTGGTGCTAATGGGTCTGTCTGGCTTTAGTACGTCAAGGCTATGCGTCTCTTCCAGGAGGAGCCTAAGTGGACTCCTTTGAACCGTAGCAACGATCTCGATGAGAACCCGCACCGTGTGTCGTACCTCGGTAGTCTGGGTAAGGCTGCTGTTGCTGCTGTTTAAAATGACTTTGGGGTTGGCAATGTAAAGCTTGATGTGACGACTATGTTATATACCATGACAATGAAATTTTGATGACATATATTACCTGTTCGTGGATAGACTTCGTGTTTGTGTTGTGCACATTGTGATGTTCAATTCCCCTATTTACCTAACTCCGTTCGTTATGTAGGTCGGATACTTTTTCTTCAAAACTCGTAGTCATCTATGGTACACGTAACCAAGGAAAGGTAGCTTGCTCAGCGAGCAGCCGCGCCGGACAAAGACCCGGGCATCTGAAATTGTTCGCTAAGCGCTCCCGAACTCTCCTCTCGGACCAAGCTGGGGCTGCGCAGGTCCCCTGTCTCGACATTGTAGCTGCTCGTTCGCGAGACGCTGTCGAACTGGGGCCGTGAGGCAAGACCACCCCGGAACCGTAGGCCCTCGGGTTCTCGGTCCCCCAGATGATGGTCTCCAAGATCAGCCGACATGGCACTCCGAGATGCTGCGTTTGAGCCGGTTTCCGAGTCGTCACCGGTGCGGACGCCTGTCCGTCCCATGCGCGGCCATAGATCAGGCAAGCCGACTACTTGCACTCGGGGCTCGACCACTCGCTCCTCGAACCACGCGTGCACACGAGCTTCCACTAGCTGAGCCACCTTAGGCACGTCCTGGAGCCTGCTCCGGGAGCCGATGAGGGATCGAACGGAGAGATCCAGCCGGTAATCCGGAAGGAAAGAGAATGCAACATTGCTCTTCGGGCTTGACTTTGGTGGAAGTCCATCAGCTCCCTCATCGGCCGCTTGTGCGTTGGCGTCTCCGGCTGCCTTGCCGCGCGAGTTCCCATCAGCGGTGGGAGGGGATGGGGATGGAGAGGGAGTGTGGAGAGGAGGGGTGGATGCGGGAACAAGAGAGATACATAAAGTGCCCGAAAACCGGACAACAGAAACCGAAAGTGCCACAGGGAGAATCGCGGAGCACGGCTTAGGATAGTTAAGCAGCAAGGAAGTTTCGATGGCGATTGACAAGTTGTCGTCGCTCAAGTCGACGTCCATCAAGGCTTGGAGTCTCCCGCCATCGGAATTGGGGTCATCGACAGCAATGATACGGCAGTTGCTGAAGATGGGAAATTCTTCACCAAGCGAGATATCTGTGACGTTGATTTTGTCTATGAAAGACGGCTTTTTCTCGGGATTGTTGAGGGCCGCATTGAGCGAGCTGAGGATGGACGACGTCGGAGAGTCTTTCAACGAGTACGCAGTTTGTCTGTATTGAGCAATAGTCTGGGCGATCAACACATTGAACCAGTCCAGAGACTCTGGCTGATGCGACGAATGATGAATCTTATGCCTGCCATGTTTCGAGGGATTTGTAGGAATGGCGCTGTAGTAGGTTTTGCGGAGGATAGAGCGGGTATTCGTCGAGGAGGAAGGCACCGGACGGAGAACGTTGGAATTCGACGGCTTCTCCCTCAATGACCGGTTATTGGCCTCGTTAGGGTTAATTGTATAGATGGAATTGGAACGCCGATGGGTAGAGGCTCGATGTGAAAGGCCGCGGGAGGGCGGCGGAGGAGCTTCGCCGAAAATGAAGAACTTGATGAAGGCTCCGATCAACAGCACCACGGACAGCTGCCCAAGCAAAAACCCCTGCGTGAAAGATAGGCTAGACTAGATCGTTAGCCCTTCTATGGGAACAGCCAAGGGGGATCAGGCCATTAGTGACATACGAGGATTGAGCCGGAACGGGCACCGTTTCACCTGGTTCGTCAGTCAGCTTTCAGGCAGTCCTTAGCAGAGAGGAGGAAATGATTCGATCGCACTTTGTTGGAAAGACATTGTCCGCCACTATAGACCTCAACTTCTGCCCATCGCCCATGACCACCACAGCCGCGGGATTATATAGAAGGGGCTGGATGGCAGTGTCTTGGGAGAAATGACGAAAGAACCGGAAAATGGCGAAGGTCGAGGTTTCCGCTGCGGTGACGCTAAGCGGTGATCGATCCCTCCTCCACCGCGGGTCCAACACAATCCAGATCGGATGCAAGAACCGCCCCTCAAGCTGGTTGTCTGGGGAGGACACGTTGAATACTTGCACGTTCCAGAATCATTGATCTGGAACTACATACTGTACTGATACCACGTCGCCTTACCATTGCTTGTGTGCCATCTATCCAGACGCCGCATCATCGTCGGCAGCATGCTCATGCTCACTCTTTACTAACACACACACACACACACACACACACACACACCAAAGCTACCCATTCACAAGACACCTCCCACAATGTACAATCTACTCATCCAACAGCTCCTCCTCTCCCTCCTCCTCTTCCCTCACAGCGCTCTCTCCGACCGACCCCCAGGCAAAGACGCCATTCTCCTCTCGCGCGTCCGGTCACTCACCCTCCGCGGAAACCGTCTCACCACCTCCAGACGAGTATCTCCAATTCAGCAGCTAAAATGCACCGGCCCATCCAAGCGCATCTGCAATATGTACGAGATCGATACAATGCGATGCACAAACGAAGGCTACGACTACGATGAAGAAGACGTTCAATGGACCTGCACTGCGTCGCTCCCACAGGAATTCAAGCTCGGAGCTACAGACGTAATATGTGAAGGATACCGGAATGCCGACGACAAGTGGATATTGAAAGGAAGCTGTGGAGTCGAGTATCGCCTACTGCTGACGGAAGCGGGAGAGGAGAAGTTCGGACACTTGCGCAATGAGAGATCGAGCTCTTCGAGTGATGAGCTTGGCCCCGTAGGCAAAGTGATCTTCTTTGGGTTTATGATCGCGGTTTTTGTGTTCATTCTGGCAGCGTTCTTCAATGAGTGTTGCGGGTCGGGGGCGAATCGGCCTCAGAGACGACGCCGTGGTGGTGGTGGTGGTGGTGGTGGGGGAGGTGGTGGTGGCTATGGGGATGATGGGCCTCCGCCTCCGTACTCAGCATCGCCGCCCCCTTATACTCCTTCTTCGGACCCTAGCGAGCGTTGGAGACCTGGGTTTTGGACGGGTGCCATGAGTGGTGGGGCGGCTGGTTATGCGCTGGGAAGAAGAAGCGCTGGGAATCCGTCTAGTTCGTCATCTATTTGGACCCGGCCTTCCTCGTCCAGAAGATATGATGACCCTGGGGAGGGTAGCTCAGGATCGCGCACTCCGCAATTCTCCAGCAGCACCTCAAGTACCGGATTTGGCTCAACGCGCCGCAGGTAATAGCTACAAGGACCAGAGACGTGAAACGACAGTCGATACTTTGGGAAGTATGCGCTAGCTATAAGCCTTTGATTCTTTTGAAATTCTCGTTGTAATGGCCGACCACTAAGATACACGTAGGACCAAATCGTCGGATAATTACCACTACTTCAGCCGACCACGGTGTAGTAAGCAAATAGAGTAAACAAACAGACATTCATCATCACCGGGGGGCAAAAGAAAGACGAACAGGAACCCAAGTAAACTCCTGCACCAGGCAGTATAACTGGTCTGGTCTGCAACGCCAAAAACACCTATATCCCCGCATGGTATTGAAATCGGCCGTAAAATATAAATTTATCGATCCTGCGTACTCAAGGTATATCATCAATGGTGCCCAAAACTTCTTCAGTGCCACCAGCCATGGCTTTCATGGCTTGTTTTCTGCTGTTCCGCTTCGCTTTGACAGGCACGTCGTTGGCTGCAGTGCCGTCGGCACCACCAGCCGCACCGTCAGGATTACGAAGCATCTCTTCCTGCGCTTCCTTCTCTTTAGCGTGCTGTGCCTCAATCCGCTTCCGCTCCTCGTCCAACTCTTGTTGGATCAGCCTGGGGTCGTCATAGACAGTGTTGGTCATCTCCGAGTAGGTACTAATGTCAATGGTCTCCCGCGGGCCCAACAGTGTTTCTTTGATCCGCTGGGGGTCACGACGTTCTTCGTTGTTGAACTTGAGCTTGATCTGGCGCCGGGAACGGCCCGGGAACAACTTGCTGATCATCATGAAATCCGTACCAAACATGCGCAAGCCCCGATAGAAAAGGTCGGTCATCTCCTCGTCCCAGGACTCGGTCTTGGAGCGTTTTCCATATGTCGCCTGGTTGATTTTGCGAGTAAACGAGTTTTCGATAACATCCTCGAGGTCCCCAGCATTCCTCGCGGCGTCGGCATGGCGATCCACCTGCAATGAAGCAGTGTCGAGCACAATCTCTCCGTTAACGATCCTCATCACTGGTCCAGCCTGGGCCTTATTGTCTGGGTTCTCATCCTGGTCTCCGGCGGGAGACGCGTCGTTCCCGTTTTCTTTTACCAGTGCCTCGGTATCGCCTTCCTGCTGCGCTTTTTGCTTACGCTCCTGCTCCGCCTGTTCCATGTTGCGCAGCTCAGTCTCACGCTTGGACATTTTACCCGTGCGCAAATCCTTGCACAGCTCCGACATCTTGACCATTGCGGGGGCGATCTCGACAGATTCGGCGCCTTCGGGGGTTGGCTCGCGCTTCTTGCGTGTTCGAGGCTTCCTTTCCTTCTTCTTTGTCGCATTTTCCCCATTGACATCCTTCACTGATTTCCGTCTAGTCCTCGTTGGCTTTCGACCTTGTTCGGCAATAGTAACCTGCGAGTCAGTTCTAGGGCGTGCATCTGTAGTCCCTTCGCTATCTGTGAGTGCCGCCTGCGTTGCTGGAGGAGTAACGAGTTGGGGATTGGCGTCTATCGCAATTGATTGGGTGGTGCGCGTAGTCGTAGCAGGATGAGGAGCAGCAGCAGCGGCAGAAGGAGCGGAAACGGTGGGGACAGCATCGGTGGTGATGGCGGTGGATTCTCCGGTGGTCTTGGGACGTTTGGATGGACGAATCACTGTCGCGTCATTATCGGGGCGGGATATCTGTGTCTCGGGGACAGCAGTCGCAGTGTCGCTCACAGTAGCCTGTATCTGCTCGACATGGGGTTCTGGCGCGGTAGGTGTAGGCGGGGTAGGTTGAGGAGGGGTTGAGATCTGTTCTATGGTTCCCGGGGAGACTGCAGACACCGAAGCCTTCCGCTTGGGACGGGGGATTGGAATGGCCGTCGCAGACTGAGGCACGGCGACCTTCTCTTTAGGAGAGACTGCTAACTCCTCTGGGATTGAAGGTGCAGTAGGAACGGAGGGCTGAACAGCGGGGGCCGGTGGACCTGGTTCGGGAGTTGCTGTCTCTGTCGGCGGTTGGGGAGTCTGAGAGGCAGATGGCTGGGAGGCTACAGTAGGTCTTCTGGGGGGAGCGGAGGCTGGAGGACGGCGAGCGGGCGCCTTGGGGGCAAACTTCTTGCCCGACTTATCTGTAGAGGAGGCATGATTAGCAGTTGAATGTGAAGGCGGGACGGGACACGGGAAGAGGGGACAAAGGAACGTACTAATGGCCGAACTGGAAAAGGACTTCATTCTGCATGCTGGTCATCGCTGAAGCGAAAGGTCAGGAAGGGATGAAATGAGCAAGGGGAGATAGTAGAGAGGGAACAATGATGATGAAGTGATGGTGGTTTAGGTGGTGGTGGTGGTAGTAGGTAGGAGAAGGGACCGAGAGAGTAATAAACCAGCAAAAAGTCTAGATTGGCGGGCGGAAAGAGCTGAACCTGAACCAGAACTCCTGGGGAAAGTGGGCGCGGTCACGTGGGAGGCGCGAAGGGACGCTAAACTGGCAGGCCGAAAATCCTCCTGGTTTCTTCCTGCCTGGGAGTCTTTGCTTATCTCAACTCATTCCCTCTCCATCCCCCTCTTCCACCTCTTCCTCGCTTCCCCCCTTCCACCCGCCTTTTCTTCCACAACAACCACCACCCGTCACGTCTTTCACGGTCGGAGATTGTTACGGTCCCTGCTTTCGGCCCGTTGCTGCTCAGTGGTGACGGCCTCTTCTGACGTATGCCTCTTTAGCCACTGATGCCGGCCGCCGAAGCATCCCCCGTCGCATCTTCCGATTCCGGTTTTGTCATGATGGAAGACCGGAAGAGAGCCGCTGCCTACGACCATAATGATTCTGCTCCACCGTTGAAAAAGCAAGCGACTTCGGTCAATGGTGGTAGCAAACCCCATCCCGACGCTGATATGCCCTGGAAAGATGACCTGGAAGTAAGTCCCCGATCTGCCCACGTGGGTGCCAACTTATCCCAAGGGTTCCCCTAGACAGGATTGGAACGCCATAGTCGAATCTACCGCTACCCTCCAAGTGACATACTGACGTCTTTTCGTCGCAGCGTTTCCAAAAGGACGCAATATGGCGCCAGATGCAGGAGTACAAACGTGAGAAGGTGTCGCTTGAGGCCAAGCTGAAGGAGATGTCCAAAGCCACCGCCTACCACAATGACCATCTCCGTATCATAGATACCTGGTATAAGCAAGTGAGTAGATCGTTGTATTTTGCTCATCCGGTGCAGATTGTCTGACGAGTCGACAGTTGGTCGACGAGGTCAAATTGCTCATGGGCGCTGCCGAAGAGGATGCCAAGGGTGGGTCCCACTCATGCCGGCCGTTGGTTTACATGGAAACGCTAAACAAAATCCCAGAGCGCCCGGCTTTCCAAAGCAGCCTGCTGTTCGATGATGTCGACAAATTCGAGAAGCACTTAAAGTCCCGTTCGGAGGATATCCGCCAGGTCATCTCTAGCTTACTGTCCAAATCCCCCAGGACCACACCCGAGGCTTCAGAGTTACAGACTCAACTCGCCAAAAAGCTTGCTGAGGAGAAAGCCACCCTCGCAGAATTAGAGAAAGCTTTATCTGAAAAGCAGCAACTCGAAGAAAGTCTCGAAGAAGCCTCTTTACGGTACATGGTAGCCGAGAAAAAGCTCGATCGTGCACGGAGCTTGACGGTTGCCAAATTAGAGAAGCAGTACATTCTAGGAGCCCAACGCCCCGGCGGCGATAGTGCATCTGCACCCAAGGAAGAGCCTTCCGCGTCCAACGGCGCGACCCCTAGCGGCGAGCGGAGTCCTGCCCTGGAAGAAGCCCACAGCAAACTCGTCGCCGTGTCTGAAAAGCAGAAAGAACAGCTTCAGAAATTGGAGAGTGAAAATGCCAAATTACTGACTCAAATAACGGATCTTAACATCAAGGTACGCCCACCCGGTTGGGTCAGCTAGACTCGCACAGTGCTAACGTGAGACGGCAGCATTCACGACTAACTGACGATGACTACGCGCACACGGACTTGTTCAAGCAATTGAAATCCCAGTACGATGACGTTGTTACTCGGATCAACCACTTAGAAGCGACCAACGTGCAACTGCGAGAAGAAGCGGCAAAATTCCGATCGGAGCGAACCGCCTACCGCAACCAGGTTGATGAAGAGGCACAAAATGCGATCGCTGAGAAGGAGATGCAATTAATGCGGGCAGAAACAGATCTGGCACGGATACGCAACGCGCGCGACGAACTTTTGGCGGACCAGCAAATGCGGAAGGCTGCGCAAGAGCAGGAGAAAACTGCGGCTACAAAGGTGCAAGAACTTGCAGATGCTGGACAGGCTCGGATTACGGCGCTAGAGTCCGAGGTTCAAAGGTTGCGTATGGAACTAGATAAGGAGAAGAGCACATCAAAAAGCGTCGATGAGATCCCGATCGAAGAACTGCGTGCTAAGTTCAGCAACCTGGAACGTCAGTTTTCGATGCTTAACACCGAACTATCCTCGATGCAAGTCGCCTGCAAGAAGTACTCGTCATTGGCATCACAGAAAGTCACCGATTTCAGTGCCTTGGAGGAGAAGGTCGCCCGACTCATCGCGGAGAAGTCCAAGGCCGATCAGAAATATTTCGCTGCAATGAAGAGCAAAGAGGCCAGGGATGTGGAGGTCCGCACCCTGCGCATGCAAAATGCGAAAACTTCGGACATCGTGTCGCAGCTGAAGGAATCCGAGGCAGCTACCCGTTCTCTGCTGGCCAACATGGAAAAGCAAGTTAGCGAGACTAAGGAAGCACTGAATTCGATGATGAATAAGAATTATGCAGCCCAGCAGCAAGTCACAGAGAAAAACATCACAATTGAGGGCTTGAACCGGCAGGTGGCCGAACTCAAGGCGTTGTCAGCTTCCAAGGATTCGACATTGGCTAGCGCCTCGAGTGCTTGTCGCCAAGCGGAAACGGAGGTGGAAGGTCTGAAGGTGACCCTGGCGGATACCAAGAAGAGCCTGGAGAACTGGAAGAACAAGAGCCTGGGGAACTCCTCGTCCGAATATGAAATGCTGAGGGTATGGTTATATCCCATCTCTACTACCGTTTTACGCCATATTGGATCATCCTCGCTAACATGCCCTACAGACTCTGGCACTCTGCACTGTGTGTCGTCGCAACTTCAAGAACACGGCCATCAAGACCTGCGGTCACGTGTTCTGCAAAGAATGCGTAGAGGAGCGCCTCACATCTCGGTCCCGAAAGTGTCCCAACTGCAACAAGTCCTTCGGTAACAACGACTACATGCATATCACACTGTGATTTGCTCAGAACCCACCATCCTGGGTTCATACCCTCAACTTCGTGTATCATAGTCTCTTACTTCTCTTCTTGCCTTTCTCGCCTTCCCCTTTTCACTCACCTACGTCACTTTATTACGGCTTGATTTTTCTTTTACCCATTGCGCTCCATAATCATGGAAAAAGGCTCATGGTGCGGTGTTTTACTGTGGTTTAGCAGGACAGGATATCAGAGGGCCGGCGTTCGATCTAAATCTGTTCCTATTGATCGGATATCTTCTTTGCATAGTGGCCGGGTTGTTTGGTCTTCGGGTTACCGGTTTTTCCCTATTTGTTTCCTTTTAATTTTCTTTCTCTCTTCGTTTCTCTTTGCCGCCTTTTATTCCTTTTCTTTTATTTTCTTTTCCCTTCTCTTTTCATTACCCTCCAGTCCAGTGGAGTTGTTTTTGGATACCCACGTCAGTGTTCGAGCGGCACCTGGGTGGGACAATACGGTGCATGTTGTAGGATTAACTAGGAAGTCACGGCAGAGAGAAAGATGATGAATGCAGCTATATTCATACAGGAATGTCACCTTTGGCCAAAAAGAAAAGAATCGAGAGAGCTATCGTGGTGATCTATGTATTATGAGTTGAAGATTCTGCTATATAGAAGTTCATGTCGTCCCACCCAGAGATCAAGAGGTGGGACGATTTGTCCTGCATCTTCGACGGGAGTATCCCACTCCCGCTCTATACGTTGAGTGATCATGCTTTGCAGGCCTTTGCTGGCCAGGATGTTCTGGGCCTGATAAGGGCCCATGACGGACGCACGGACAGCAGCGCTGAGGACTGCCTTGGCATGGTTCAACATAAAGACATAAGCAGTCTGGTGGGCGTCCATGCCCATGGCCAGACATACCACCCCCCACAAAGGCGCAAAGTGGCCTTTGGGGCCTAGTTCGTCAGTACCCAGCGAGGTCTTCAGTATGTCGGAGAATTCCTCCACCACCTTCACTGCCTCAGCAGCCTTGGGGTTAGCGTGGAATGGGTTGAACGCATACGTTTTCCGGAAAGCGCGTTCCCAGACCCCGAGCAATGCCCGCCCTTGGGCGAGACTCGCCCGCTGGGCAACTATGCAGGGAGTAGACGCATCAAGGTCATTGTCCAGGGTCTCCAGGTCTTCTGGGCGTCTGTAGCCTGCCAGAACGTATGGAAGTGAGGTACTTGCCATAGAAGCGATTGAGAGCTTCAGGAAGCGTTGGAAGGATGCAATTGGGGTCACCGAGCGAGGAAGGGGCTTGTTGTGCGCCAGATAGGACTCGAGACCGCTGGAGTAGGCGAACGAGCCCAACGGAAGGGCTGAATCCGAGAGGAGAAGCAGTGCATGGCTGGGTACTATTCCTGTAGCATCTGGTGCGTAGGAATGGACGGTTAGTATCTTGTAGATAGGTGGTGGAAGATGCAGTTGCAAAAGAAGTGGTGTACGGGGAAGACATCCGCGGGGGCAAACACACCCTCCGGTACCGGTAGATATTGACCCCCGCCCTTGTGCGACGCAGAGGCCGACGCTAGACGAGCACGTGCATTGCGCAGACAGTCCTCGAGATCCACGATCTCTTGCTCGATATCCTGCACGTTGGTCTTTACTGTCATTTGCCCTCACCAAACAAGTTAAGGCGGCCGGTACATGGCGGTGATGAAGAAAGGGAGACCCGCGGGAGGAACATTCGCCTTTATATACTATTCTTAGTTTTATCCGGTCGGCTGTCTTCCTTATCAGTTGCCTCCGGACCTCTCCGGGGCGCGGTACCGCCCGGCAGAAAACCACCGCGGCTTTTCGAGGCACGAGATGCTATCCGGTTTGCTCTCGCGCTCCCCCAATTGCTTCAATTCCCATCATTATGCGAAGACGGTAGTTTGGAGACCAGCCCGGGTTTCTCTGCTACGTTATCAATCATGTCGGGCAAGCGTCTGTTGGACGCGATCCAACTTTGCAATGTCGCCAGGTCCGTGGCCGTGAAGCACCTCGAGGTGCGGCAGCGCCAGCTAGACTTATTTACCAGGACTTCGTCCCTCACCAAAGGCATCAAGAGCCAGGCGGATGGCCTCTGCATGACTGCACAAGCTGCGGCA